CATAGTTGTTGTTGTTAAAGACTTAGCTACTCAGGACCAAGTGTCCATGTAGTACGGACTATGATGAGCCCGGCTGTTAAACATAGGGGTGAAAGTGGTTATATGGTAAAGGCAACTTGGTAGTGGGTCAGTGTGGTGTTGAGGGAGTCTTACACGTGTGAGGGTCCGGCGGAAGTGCTAGAGCGGCACCTTGGGTGGTTCTTACCTGGCCGACGTGCACCCGGACCGTCACCGGGTAGGTATCATCTGAGGTGTCCCCCTACCATCAACACCCTCGCTTAAACCTCCTGTCCTTCGCTGTAGCAGCAGTGGACGGACAGCAATTCTTGGGTAGCAGCAATGGACTGACAACAATTCTTGGGTGTAACAGCAGTGGACATACAGAAATTCTTGGGTGTAGGAGCAGTGGGCGGGGTGTATCTAGTGCACGTGTATGTCTCTCCCCCGTGACTAGATAAGACACTCGTCCACTGACACATCCCTATATCTACAACTCCACCCACACCTCCACGTGACTTCCCTGGTACGCCGCTCCATTTGTCGTGTGACCTTTCTTTGGTGGTCTAGCTTTTTGAGCCATCTTGGTGCCATCATAAAGCTTGATCAGCAGGGCAATGTATCACGACTGAATCCTTCACTGTCAGCAGTCAACGCCATGGAATTGTATTTAGTTTTTAAGTTAATCTACTGTCACCTTATTGGGATGGGATAGTGTTTTAATTAGGATGGGATAATGTAACTAGGCGCGTAATGTCGGCACTCTACTGGTAACTTGCGCTGTGCATGTGTACCGTTTTTAATCATATCACAGTTTAAGTTGCTAGATGATAGCTGCGTGACTGCATAGTATAGGCTGCCACACGGCACGGTTTAGCGCGTTAAAATGTGCAAGAAACCATTACAAATGCATTTTGTATTACTAACTGGCGCGGTTGACTACCATCTTTGGGGAGGACGGTGGTGATTCTCGCTCGGACGACGAGTACTGTTACACACGTCACCGGGGGAGACTCGTCGCCGTCCTCACCAGCCGCGTGTTTGGATGACGAAAGTGGCTTCTGCTGACGTGCAGGCCAACGCCAGGAACTTTGTGAATGTGCTGATGTAATACTTGCCTCTGCTTGACCTTGGGCGTGTGGATGCGGGTGTATCTCTCCCGCTTGGCAATGATCTAAGTGTCACCGGGAAAGATACATCTGTGTCTATGCTTCTTCAATCTGGAATATGTTGGCATTTTAACCTGTTGCAATCTTAACGGGTTGAATGGTCACACAATCGACTTGAGAATGGTCCAGGACGGACCGAAACGTCGTCGTCTCTAGACCTCTAGTGTGTGGTCTGGTCAATCTTAACGGGTTGGACTGTTATCTAGCAGTTTGTAGAGGTCTGCAAGAGTTTAGGAACTGTCAGTGTGGTAGGTTTATTGTCCCCATCACATTGTTAGTTACCTAAACCTATGTCGACCTCATATCTACCTGCACTTCACGCTAAACTACACGCCCTCTAATTGAATATTTAGTCTTTGTTAATTTTAAGTACTGTAGTAATATTAGTTATTATAAGTTCCATAACCCAATAACGTATTTCTATACGTTCTTGCCAACATAGGTTGTCCATTTAGTGATAATGTTACGTAAATGATAAATGTTAATACTCGCTGTATACTCTATAGGACGGCGGCCAAATTGACTGTTTTGGCAACAAGATGTAAAGCAAATTGACGAAGTGCATAACGCTATTGTGGCCGAACTACCGGTGAGTGGGGACCCAGTTTACGTGTATTTCGTGACTAGATCCAACACTCAACCGGCAGTTCTTCCCACACACTCTACATAACTCCCAATGGCACACGAGGCAACGTAATTATCCATACACCACTGATAAGAGATGTTTGATGAAGATTAAGCTAACCCAAGACGTTGGCACGGGCATGAATAACCCGTTCGATGGCTATGCAAGTATGTTATAGCACACCTGCTAGGATGCGTGTCGCCCAGGTAATGCTGTAGCAGAGCTCATCACCGGGTAGCACTCATCCCGGTACTGTGTACTCTCTCTTTCGCCAAAAGTACAAAGTTCCTCGTATGTCCTCTATATTTTTAATTCTAATTTTGAATTGCAGTTTACGTGCTAGTGAAGTTTTAACATGTATGGCACCTTATTTTTTTTAAATCTCTTGGCTATGGGAATTTTGAGCTGCAGATTTTAAATATTTGTTTTACTTTTATTTTAAAGATGCTTCATGCATTTTTTAAAGTCTCCATAGACTTTAAAAGTGCTTTACCAAAATTTTCTACCATCACACATTGGGTCTGGCTACCAGTCATGGTTAATTTTACAAAATTTAGATTGTAAACTAGTGGTAAAATGTTTATAAATTTAAAACTACTGAATTTTGAAGTGTTTATTTAATTGGTAATATTGTTTATAACTAAATAGAATCTTAACCCCCCTTCCTCCCCTCCAGGTGTCTGCATCTTTCAAGGTCTCTCTTTGAATGAGTCGGTGGGTAAATTTGGTGTCCTATAGCTGAAAGTGTTTATAGTGTTTACAAAATTTTTTTTTAAATTTATACATTTTTATTTACATTCATTTTTTTTTACAAAAAATTTTTTTACATTTATAGTGTTTACAAAATTTAACACTAATATTCCTGAACTTTTTAGTAACCTTCATCCGTAAAGTGGCACAATCCTAGCATAACTTGTAGGAATCTAGCAACATTAAATGGTTTTTTAATGATTCCTTCTTTTCATCTTGTAGTCTAGATACAACTGCTCCCCAGCAAGGCACCAGAGGATGGTACCACTCTAGAGAAGAGCACTTGGACATGAAGGCCAATTGAATCTAGAATTGCTACACCTCGCTTGTCCTGCCCAGAGCTAAAGCAACCCGTCCTCGACTACTCCATTACATCCAGCGGTCGTCCCCACAGACGCATTCATAAATGTTTACATGCTGTTCATTCAAAACAGGAATTTTCTCATATATTTGCATATAGGTTAGGTGTTAAGTTCTGTTGGCAATTATTTGTAGTACGTGGGGTGAAGCATTTATTTTTTTTTTTTTCAGATCTTTGCTTGGAGGACGGGCTGAGTTTAAAGTTAACCAACAAATATACCTTAAATATAAAGCCTGACTAGAATGAAACTTCCTGTTCTCGCTTCATGACTAAATGCCGTGTACCTCGTGTCTACATTTCTTATTCTGTCACTTATAAATGCCTGAACAATTATGAAGTATAATACAATACAGTGAGTTGTAATGCTTAATACATTGTTCTGCTAACATAATTAGCTAAGATGTTATACTAGTTACTATTATATGTTTCATATGGGGGCAATAGGCCATCAGCAGTTTCCCTCTTCTCTTGTACAGAAAATTTATGCAAGATGTCAATGTCTTGTGCTGGTGTAAACAACCTACCAAAATAAATTCTATTATAAAAGCCAAACCTTTGATTGAGGAAAATACCTTGACTGCTTTTGCATAATTATTTTATTTTAATAAATATTAAGTTATTTTTGCATAATTCTGTGTACACAGCTGAAAATGTAATGTAAAATGCCTCAAATGTAAGCTGGAACTCTACTTAAAACTTGCTGTTAAACATTACTCTTACTGTCAACGACCTGAAAAGTTCTTTATGTATATAAAGATAAAGGCTAATTTTGGGAGAAAGGGAGGGGGACATTTTTAGTAAAATCTTTGTTTGTACATCTAAGGAATTGCTAGATTGTTTAAACTTTTGTCAAGGTACATGAGACAGTTTTAAATAATGCATTTTATTAAAAAAAACATTTATTTATACAAGGAGAGGGACAAAGTATGAAGATAAAGTTGCATGTTGAAACATGCAGTAGCTGTAAAGATATCTTGGATAAGTGATCATAAATACTTTATAGCTAATGAATCTATCTGTGGACACAGGGTTATACTGGATACAGCCTAGGCATATTTTTTAAAAATGTAAAAAAAGTGATAAATTACATACACCTACCTAATGTTATGTGTTCTCCTCCAGGCACTTTTAATTGCATGAACAAATTCCCCCACATGTACTGTCTCAATAAAACTAAGTTGTGTTACATTTTTTTATTCTTCCACGATAGAAAACTGTTAGCATGTCAAAAGAACTGGATTTTTACTAGATGGCAAATTTTATTATATTAATTATTAGCCTGAATAATTGAATAATATTGGCTGGGTGGTGTTGACACGGAAGAGTCTGATTTGTGAAAGTGATCTTGGAGTTGTGCATATTGTTTTCTAATCTTAAATATTTAAAATCTAATAGAATATACCAAAAGAACAATCTTGATTCTTCAGCCATTAGGCCTCGGTTAGATATGCAGTTCAGTCTTTGTTGGATGCAGTGTATCTGCAAATTAGAAACCTTTCATATGAAGAGATTGAAACTGCTTAGGGTGAAAGAGACCATAATAGAACGAGAAACTGGATATAAATTTAGATTTAGGACAGACCTGGGTAAATACTGGTTTCATACCTGGTAATTTGTTCCACAATCATTTCGACATACCCTTGCTGTTTCAAGTTTACGTTAGATATATTGTATATATAAAAGGATGGGTGGATGAGAGTTCTGTAGTTTCTTCTATTCGTATGTGTCGATACCATTACTTATTGGACTAGTTCTTCGCGGGACTATTTATTAGAGTTGAAGTGCATTGTCACAAGGAACCTCCTTTATCCTGTTGACCAAAATGGTGAACACTTGTTTCAATAGTTTTACTGTACTTTGGCTCTCAAGAGACGTCCAACCCACATTCTTTTACCCCCAGCAAACTTTAAAAAAAAAATCCACACGGCCCCCCCTTCCCCACCCCACTCCCAGATTATATACCTACACAAAGATTATATACACACTCTGAAGCCCTATGGTTCTGTTAATGATTAATCTGGCACCAATGCCCTCACTGGAAAATTTACACTCTGAAGCTGCTCGAGATCTTAAAGAAGACGAAAAAAGTGCACTTTACCTTATTTCCAAGACACTGGCGGAAGTCATCCTTCATAGTACTAACGGACACCCTGTCATGAGGTCGTTTAGGGCCAGAGAGAGAAGGAACTACATCTGCCAAATCTAAGCATGCCATCTGTAAAACAAAATCACCCAAAATTAAATCCTGTTAATATTTTAGTTAATATTTTAGTTAATACTAAAATAATAGTTTTCAGTAATCCATCTGCCACCCTTGTATGATTGATGCATCAACCCGGAGGAAATATTGCAATACTGTACTGTAGAGAAATATTAAAAATACTCACTAGAGTATTTGTTTCAAGGGGCCTCTAATACACTCACACTAGGGATCACTTTTTTCCCTTTCCTATTCTTCAATACAAAACACATTACAGATTATACTTAAAGTGGCTAAAAACTTCTCATAGCAATGTGTAAAGGTAAGCACCACTGCACTGACTTTCTCAAAAGCACATCTTCATAACCAGATCTTTTCTTATGTAGCCTTGCCTTGATGTATGAACCATTTTAACAAGTCCACTAAATTCCATGCCCTCGCTACTTATGCTTTCTCAATAAATACCACCCACCATGGCATTGCCAACACCACCACACAAAAATGCCTCTGTACTCGTAAAAAAAAGAACATTCATTTAAATAATTGTCAAAGATAGTGCCAAGACTGACTATTCTGTCCAGATAGTGCTATACAAGGTTCCTAGATAACATTCAGGATGTCATTTAAATAGTAAAATAAACTACATTTAAAATGTAAATAACAACACGGAACGTCATAACTATATTTTTTTTTGCAAATAGTTTGTATCACAACATTAACATGATCTATGCCTCTTATATTACTTGGCAATGCCTATTAGCCCATCTTTGCACTAAGGTACTTGCAGCAGATACTTAATGTTTCATGCTGATTTTCATTGGACTATTACAATTTTGATTTAAAAAGTTTTGAAAGTGATTTTATAAATCATTAAAGCTGTGGCTGAAGCGAACAAACATGCAGGCATAAAATACCATACAGGATACTTCACAATCTTATAATTAAAGCTGGGATTATATTTACAAAATTAAACCACAAAATTTGAATTATGAGAATTTGAAAAATAATAACATGAAATTATTGAAATTTGTACAGCCTTTCTGATAACCTATAACCCAAAGGATACCTGATCAACCAGGCTGTGACTCATACGTCAGCCGCGTCCAACAGCCTGGTTGATCAGTCCGGCAATCAGGAGGCCTGGTCGATGACCGGGCCGCGGGGACGCTAAGCCCCGGAAGCACCTCAAGGTAACCTCAAGGTAACCTAGGAGCAAAGTATTTCAGTGATTAGGGAGATGGCAGCACTCGGTTACAGCGTTACAACAACTGTTTATTTCTTACCTCACTGAAAACTGGATCCTGAGAAGTGTCCATAAAGTTCCTGTACATTTTCACAGCCTTAAGATAAGTTTCAATCTGTGCAATCTTGCTTTCTTCACGATCTATTGGGATAAATGATGGTAGCTGTTAGGTAATGCTGCATATGAATGTACAGAGTAGAAGTTGTATTTGAGTGAAATTTTATTAATTGGGTTTATAATTTATGCAGTAAATGTAACTCCATATGAAATCCTGCATTAATAAAAAAGTGGATAAAGGAAGCCTATTTAAATTAAAAAGGAGTAGGACAAGGGGGGAACATCGGTCGAAGTTGGACATGCAATTGCATCTAAGAGATATACAGAACAAAAAGAGGTGCTTATTCCCTGTATAAGTGGTCAGTACATGGAATGCATTGAAGGAAGATGCTGTTGAAGGGTCCCTTGATTGTTTCAAGCATGAGTTGGACATGTATATGAGTGGGATTGGGTGGTTATAATTAGGAGCTGCCTCGTATGGGCCAATAAGCTTTCTGAAGTTACCTTTATTCTTATGTTCTTAAGACAACTCAATCTACAGTGTTATATGAAAATGTTAACATTTTCATTTTTTTTTTTGAGAAGGGTAATTAGCATGCAAGATATGAATGGCTAGGTAGTGAGGGTAGACCTTACTCTCCTCACCGTAGTCACTGAGAGGTAAGCAATGTACTTTGTTGACACACAGCAGAGCATTTCATTCTTTATAGAACACAAGAGTACCCTCCATTAAAGTCTGAAGGGTTTCACAAACATATGGTAAGGATCTAAATTTTTCATGAATATTGTTTCTGAAAATCTTATTTGGGAATAAATGGTGTTTGTGAGGAAATAAAATTAAATATAAATATTAGTAGACCAGGAACCGGATTCACAAAGCGGTTACGCAAGTACTTACGAACCTGTACATCTTTCCTCAATCTTTGACGGCTTTGGTTACATTTATTAAACAGTTTTCAAGGATGAAAACTTCCCAATCAACTTTTGTTGTTGTTACAAAAAGCCTCCTGGTGCTTCGGAGCTCATTAACTGTTTAATAATTGTAAACAAAGCCGCCAAAGATTGAGAAAAGATGGACAAGTTAGTAAGTGCTTGCATAACTGCTTCGTGAATCTGGCCCCAGACCCATATACAGTGCATAAATTCACCTATCTTTGCTACTTTCATTTGGTGGGGCGGCAACAAGCCAGATAGTGTAGTAATACAGTAATAGTATAGGGAAAGGTTAAATGATTCAAAAAATGTATCATGAGTAGAAAACCATCAACTGTCCTCCAAATAGCATCACACCTCTCCAAGGAATCAGGTTTACAGTACAGCGCCCGTCGTTATTTGTCAGGTACATAACATCCAAACACATTCACTTTCTTCTACCCTCAGATCCATGTGACTATTCCTCACTAGTCCATCATCATCCATTCATCAAACATTATCAAAGTTTGTTGTTTCTTGACCCTACTTCTCCAACAATTTAAATTCTTGGTCTATTCTGTCACCATACATGTTTAAATTATCTATTTCTACAGCTCTACCTTTATTTTCAACATTCATACCACACTATCACCTACTTCTGACTGAATTAACTATCTCATTTTTCCCAACCAGAGTTTTCACCATACAGTATTAGCAACTTTCTTCTTCGATTAACCTTACTTTTACCTCAATTTCACAAATTCCTGTTATCAATAAAGTATAAAGCTAATTAAACTCACAGATCACTTAGAGCACTTTACCATTTGCATTTATTGAAGACATTTTGTATCTGCATATATTCATATCTTATACTTACTACTCTGTCTAAGGTAGTGGATAGTAGTGTCATCAACTGGGAAGAAACCAACAGTGGCACCGTATTCTGGACACATGTTGGAAATTGTGGCACGGTCTGCCAGGGACAACTGCTCCACTCCTGGACCATAGAACTCGACGAACTTCCCAACCACGCCAACTTGGCGCAAGTGCTAACATAAAAAGTGCATCATCACTGGCTGAACAATGTTATGCTCACTAGCAAAACTGATAAAGAATACAGAGCAGAAAAATGTTTTGCCACAAGTGGTAATTCTTAGATTAAGTTGTTATGTATATTTGCAACAATACTGTAGTTAAAATCATGCTAGTGGTTAAGGACACTGTCCAATAGCCGAGAGCTCTATTATTTCACTTGGAACGGGTAGATTCAAATGGAGAAAGTACCACGGCCTACAGATTCTATTACAATAAATTAAAATTTTTAGATTTAAACAGCAACAAATTAAATATAGCTACCCATATATGTAAAGTTTTAACAGGATGTAATGATTTGCTACCCCCCAAAAAGAATAGCTTACTTTTGCAAATAAATTTTTGTTTGACTTAAAATCTACAAAGACTAATGACAAAGAATGTTCAGAATTGCCTGTATATATATAATTACTATAATATATTATTAAACAGTCTGGGACAAGAAAAAGTGTGCATTAAATTCAATGCAAGTTTTTACTGTATCTTATTCTTTACACACTTAAAACTTGAAAACACCCAATATATAAAATAGGTTATATCACAAGAATTTCAGAAAACGGGTAAACCCCCACCTTGGTAATGGTAAGAACCACATCTGTTGAGGTAGCAAGCGGAGAGAGTGTACCGGTGATACAGTAACCCACAACCTTGGGTAGCACCATGGACACTGCTTGCCCAAGCATAACTGCCTCGGCTTCAATACCTGAAAAAAGCATAATGCCTAAATGACTTGCCTCCATTAAGACATTTTTGCCACATTCCAACTCCCATATACACCCCTACTTCAATGATATCTAGAAACTCTTGAATATTCTGTAACAGTGCTTATATAGATTTCTGAGATTAGTGCTTTCATCTGATAGCATTGTACTACTGTATACACTATCTTGTATAGTATAGTATATAAAAAACATTCATACTGTATATCAATACTAAAGTTTAAAATTCAGCTGCAAAAATACTCTGGAAGGATGAGGGACTTTTGACAAGCCACTGGGTTCTTTTCTGCAAGACCACTGTACCTTCAATTAAACATACAAGCATATGAACATATGTGTGTGCTTGGTAGCCAGCCAAGACTAAGTTTTAATAAATTAAGATTACTTTTTCCCACCAAGAAGGCCTGGCCAGGAACCGGGCCGTGGGAACACTGAGCCCCAAAGCGAACGCAAGGTAAGTAATTATCAGAAGAAGGTGCCAAGCTGTCAAGGCTATATAGGGCTCTACTTATCCCACCAGCTTACCTCCAACTCCCCAGCCAACAACCCCCAGGCCATTGATCATTGTAGTATGAGAGTCGGTGCCCACCAGGGAATCGGGGAAGAGTAGTTTATCCTGGTCAAACACAACACGTGCCAGATATTCCAGATTAACCTGAGGGGTAAAGGGTTTCAGAATGTGACTAGTGATAATATGAAGTATGACCAATAATACCACAACACTGCCTGTAGAAATCAGTTACCAACATCAATATGCCCATTATTGTTGACCAGACCACACACTAGAATGTGAAAGGAAGACGATGTTTCGGTCCGTCCTGGACCATTCTCAAGTCGATTGTGATTGTCTCAATCGACTTGAGAATGGTCCAGGACGGACCAAAACGTCGTCGTCCTTTCACATTCTAGTGTGTGTTCTGGTCAACATACTTTAGCCCCGTTATTGTGACTCATTGCCTGCATGCCTATTATTACTTGAAACTCCCTTCCTTGAATTTCTCGTCATGAAAATTGAGATAATCCCCTAATGTTGTTATATATATAAAAAAGACATCATACTTTAGTGTCCTGCATATTACTAATGGTATTTTATAATTTTTCTCTACCATTTAATTATTGTAAAGATTAAAAGCAAGTCTGAGAACCTTCAAAAGACAGGCTTCTTCCACATCCTTACAAATGTAAATAACCTATGATCATTAAATAATTTTAACACTTTACTGTTAATTGCAATTAAAATATCTGCATAATATTCATATAAATACTGAAACAAAATATCATCATGTAGACTAAATTGATTATCTGTAACAGGCAGGTTTCCTGTGTCTGGATATTAGTAACCCGACACATTAGTCACCTCCTCTTCCCCTTGAAGCACACACAGCGCTTGCTCTCAAGATGCTCCTTTCCTCTCCCCCGGCCACTAGCACACACCCTCTCCCCCGGCCACAAGCACACTCCGTCTACTGCCATCAACAACAACATCCTCAACACATTACTCCGCACCTCCCTCCTCTGCTCTTATCACTTATCACACACTGATCCAGAAATAATTCATCTCTTACATGACCCACAAATTATCATGGAAAGTTACCAATATATCCCACCACTCACACTTGCTTAATTGTGATTAGAAAATCGCTATCAATAACGAGGATTATTTATGATTAGTAATGACCCACTTATCTGTTTGATAAGTCCAGTCGATAGATTGGACTCGCATTGTATCCAGGAAAGTCAGCTATTCACGAGCTCCTGCGCTAGATCACTCTCAATATGGTGTTAATACATGTATGTATAATACAGTACACACACATACAGCAATGATGCTTGTCTAATATGCACAAATAAAATGAAAAATAAAACACAAGTACACACAATGAAATTTAAAAATGTAATCCACTGGGCCTTAAGAAAAGGCAAATTTTACTATTGTTTTTTTGTTCAGCAAAATTAACAATTAAAATTAGCATAGCAAAAAAATTTAGATACAAGAGAAAATAATTCTAAAATTAAAACCAACCAGGGAGCCGGTTGGCCGAGTGGACAGCACGTTGGACTTGTGTTTCTGTGGTCCTGGGTTCGATCCCAGGCGCCGGCGAGAAACAATGGGCAGAGTTTCTTTCACCCTATGCCCCTGTTACCTAGCAGTAAAATAGGTACCTGGGTGTTAGTCAGCTGTCACGGGCTGCTTCCTGGGGGTGGAGGCCTGGTCGAAGACCGGGCCGCGGGGACACTAAAGCCTCGAAATCATCTCAAGATAACCAAGTGGCCTCACCTGATGCACTATGCCAGAGCCAGGAGGAACAATCAGCAAATTCTTCAGAGCCTGTGATCCCCACTTGAGGAATACAAAGCGTTCATAGTTTCGCTCAAATTCTATCTCTTGGTTTTTTTGTAATGCACTCGACCTGAAGAAGATAAATCATTATACCAAAAGTATGTAAATATTCAGGACTGTTAATTCTACCTATATCAATTTTGTGAAAATTCAATTCAAATTTGCCTAGGATCACCATGGAACCTGTCATGCAACATTGGCTGGTCTTCCACTCAGTCATGCACAGTCCTTTTCCAATCATAACAAAGCGGTATATTGACCACTTGCACTCATGTCACATGCTCTTTGTTTACACCATTTTGGGAGCATACAGCATCAGCTGTGTATGAATAGCAATACTGCTGGTTCTAGTATTAATGATAACTATCACAATGGAATAATTGTTGAGATATGAACAGCAACTTGGTAAGGTCGATACAAAATGCTACGTCAAGACACGTTAACAGAAACTGTGGCCCATCCTTGATCTAGACACGCAATCTAACATCCAATATAATGTGTTATAAATTGCTGGAGCTGGTCTTCCAGTCAATACAGTACGTTAATCTCCTATAAAACACAACTCTCAATTTAAACTAACAAATATTCCCTAACCTGGCCTTAACCTAAACCTAACCTTAGGGGTTCATAAAGGATTGGCCATCCAGAAAAAGAGCAACTCGGTGCACTGAAGTCAGGTGAAAGGACTTATAATTTTAATTGTACATAATAAACCAACGATGTCATAAGCAACAAGTCATCATACCAACGAGAATCACTTGCAAGATTCTACAGCCGATCTTATCTGCTACACAACATAAGGCAAACATAATATAAATCCACATATACACTGAAATTTTAAATATGGGCAAAGTGTTATGAGAAAATGAAAGAATCCAAAAGGTAAAAATGTTAACAATGGGAAGAAATATATATACTGTACCATATTTAACTTTGAAAAAAAAAATGGAGACAATAGAAAAATTAAATGATGTGATTTGACTGCAATGAATCTGAGAGCAAGAGAATCAAAAAGTGGGGATGTTTGACCAGACCACACACTAGAAGGTGAAGGGACGACGACGTTTCGGTCCGTCCTGGACCATTCTCAAGTCGATTGTCTTGAGAATGGTCCAGGACGGACCGAAACGTCGTCGTCCCTTCACCTTCTAGTGTATGGTCTGGTCAAATTACTTTAGCCACGTTATTGTGGGGATGTTGTTACAATAACTCTAAAAGACAAAAAGTTAACTAAGGAAAGAGAGAAATAATGTGGTCACCTGCCCTGGAGCAACAGCATTTTTATCTACAGCCGCTGACCAACCTATCTTCAAAAACTATTAACTGAATACCATAATTCATTGTGTATGGGGACAGGCATATATCGAGGTCCCCTCCCCTCCCAGGGTCGAATTACCGACCCCGGATGCCACTTGACAACAAACTGACTAACTCCTGTGTACCTACTTGCTAGGTGAACAGGTGCATTAAGTGATAGGAAATGTACCCAACCATTTCTGTTCCTCCGGAGTTCTCGATTGTGAGCCGAGAATGAACCTGACTGTACTACTGGGACCCTGTAGATAGAACTATACAGTTCTAGATTAAAATAGTTTAGATAGTTCTAAGTGATAGAACATAGAGCTACTATGGATGAAATGTACAAAATATGGACTACTTGTACATATTGCAACAAATTCAAGTTCTGTACTACGTAAATTTTAAGTGGCACAAGAAATTAAAATGGCAACCATAAACTTAAACTTTCCTAGGCTTAACATATACAATCTTAAGCCAAATTTAGACTTAGGGCCCTCTACAAAATTAATAGTACAAAACATGGATTTTGTTTTTGTAACAGTTCACCTTTTGTACTTCCACTTATAATAACTATTGGTAATTATATCATTCTTGGAAGCAAGGCTGCCCCAAACACATTACAGTACTCCATTACAGGAATTCCCCATCATGGGAGGTGGTCACAGCAGTGCCTCCAGGAAGCTCTATCACTATGAAAACATTTCAAGCTCTCTAACCTCCTCCCCCTCCCCCCCCACTATCCTTCACACAGTTCCACCCCCCCCTCCCGGTAGAACAGCCTCGTGACTGAGTGAACAGCGCTTGGGGGTCGTAGTCCTAAGGGCCCGGGTTCGATTCCTGGCAGAGGCAGAAATAAATGGGCAGTGTCTTTCACTCTGATGCCCTGTTCATCTAGCAATTAATAGGTACCTGGGAGTTAGACACCTGCTATGGGCTGCTTCCTGGGAATGTGTGTGTTTGTGTGTACGTGTGTGTTTTAGATAAATATATGTAGTAGATAAAATAGAGGAAAAATAGAAACGCAGGGTCCAAGAGCTAATAGCGCGATTCAGCAGACACAAAGTAAATAAATCCCTTCCCCTTCAGAGATGCTGCTGTCTACATTCACCTTTCTCGTTAAATGATTCTCAGGCATACTACTAACACCTAATTAACAATACCACCTAATGTATTGCCCTCCTACGTTACTTCTATTGATAACTAACTGCCTACTTTGATGCAAAAATCTGTCAAAAAAATTGTAGAAAAAAGTTCTTTGTGTGGTCCCTGGAATGTATCCCTATTTTTCACATAAATAATACCTTCAAGCCAAATTGTGCAGCTTTCGTGGGAACACAGCCTCTGCACAAACCGAGGGGCACCATGTACATGTAGTCACTTCCTCACGTTAGATTTTCCAAATTGACTGTCATACTTGTCAGATTAATGCTCAACAAATATTTTTCAATTAATAATGTGTATACAGTATTTCTCAAATCTAATTTAAATTATTATGCTACTGTACCTTTTCAGCATATTATTCTAACAACTCCCATAACAGGAATCAAAGATTATTTATTTTAAAATAAACTATAAATTAGGAACGTTTCGATCGCACAAAGGCAATTGAGAGGTGTCAACAGGTCAGCACATTTCTCTATACTGTATACAGTAATTCCGGGATCGATATCCCCATAGCTCAGTCTCTGACCGGGTCTACTCCTTGGTGCAGGCGATGAGTCACAATAACGTGGCTGAAGTATGTTGACCAGACCACACACTAGAAGTTGAAGGGATGACGACGTTTCGGTCCGTCCTGGACCATTCACAATCGACTTGAGAATGGTCCAGGATGGACCGAAACGTCGTCGTCCCTTCAACTTCCAGTGTGTGGTCTGGTCAACCGGGCTGGTACCTAGAGCACTTAAATCTCTCAACAGTCTGGTTCTCTGTATGCTTTATTTATTGGTGACGTGGTGGTTGTGGTTATAGTGCTGGTTTTGGGTAGTGTGTTAGTTTTGGCAGTAGTTGCAATTGAAATAATGCTTGCATTTTATGCTTGTGGTTATGGTGATTGTAGTGGCTGAGGTTGTGACATGTTGTGATGATTGAGGTGTAGTGGTGGTACTTGACTGGTTTGGAGGTGTATTTACGAGTATAGTTTTTGGATTTTTGTAGTGGTTGTGGTGGCTATCGTCGTAGCTGTTGTGGTTATTGTGGAGGCAAGTTGTTGCAATTGTGACATTTGGTGGGAATTGTGGTAGTGGCTGTCTTTGTATTGGATGTGGTGATTATTGTGTTAGAAGTTATGCTGATTAGAAGTTATTCTTAGTGTTTGCAATTATGATGGTTGTACTATTTGCAATTGATAGTGGTAGCAGTGAATGCAAGTGGTTAGTAGTACTGTCGTGGTGCTTACCTATCAGTAACTACAAGGGAGTGAGACCCAGGTCTGCCAAGCTTTTAGTACGTAGTGCATTTCTATACCTTGATGTTGATAGTTTGTGTTGTATTTACAATTAATGTTGTGAATGGTGAAGGCTTCCACAACTTCCTTGTGTTAAAGTGTCATTCACACTTCTGTGGAAATAAATGTTCCATTCACCTGACTGCATGGGGGTCTCGAACCGCGGACTTCACGCGTATGAGGCTGTAGCACTATCAACTAGGCTATGAATAGTCTTAAAAAGGAAAGTTTTCAGAAGCCGCATCCTGCTGCATACTGAAATTTTCAACTTTCCCTGACTACTAGTGATGCCCAGAGGAATTTCTGACTGAAATTCTGGAAATCTGGGAATTTCTGGGCTTTCTGACGATCGTTATTATCAAAGTCTGCTATTCTATTTACTCCTACAGACCATTACAACTCAGGATGCTATTTTTATAACTGTTAGTGATTACTGGAGAATACTTCAAGTTCTTTTTTGTTTTATAAATTTTAGAGTAGATGATTCCATCAACTACCAAACAGATTTCAGTTGGCATTGACCACATGTCAAAGTGTTTCTGGCACCAAACAAGCTACAGTAATTAGATAGCCAAGCATGTTTCCTTCAACTTATTCCTTAAGGTGTTTCCTCCCAGTTGGTGATTTCTATCCGGGTATTAGAACAACTGTATTTATTATCCCATTATCAAGTCGTGTGCAACACGAGGGTCTAGGTTGGACCAAAAGTCATCATATCTTCATTTTCTAAGGTGTGGTTTGGTTATTTCTTCAGCCATGTTACTGTGACTCATTGTCAGCATTGTCAAGGATGATGAGGATTATATTTCCTAATTTGAGTTTTGAACATGTCATCATGTTCATTATATTTATTCAGAACCAATGACTTACCATTGTGGTGCCAGTTAAACTGTTCTTCTCACAGACTTTTGTCTTGTTCAGTATATATAATAAGCCCTTTTATATAATTCTAGCCAATAAATTTAATTTTAACCCTATTTTCTGCAGATAGGCCATTGCCACCTTGTTTTGTGTGTTTCGCGACCCATTCCTTTACCTTACCTTGAGGTTACCTTGAGGTGCTTCCGGGGCTTAGCGTCCCCACGGCCTGGTCCTCGCCCAGGCCAGACCCAGAAATGTCTGGGCATTTCCCTGAACCCAACTATATATTCAAACACTTACACAGTGGTCACCAGTCCTTAATTAAGGGCACTTCATATTTTATCTTCTTAGTACCAGTCTTATTTTATCTTCTTAGTGCCAGTCTCAATTTGGGTGAATCCCAAGTATTATGTTACCGGTTGGTCTCTTCACGACTTTTTTACCGGTTTAGTGTGGCTGAAAAGTGTCCAATTAAAGTGGTTTATATTTCTCATCTCTCATTTAATTAAGGTCTTTTAGTACTTTGCGGTTAATATATATCAATCATACAAAAGGAAGCAGACTGAATTAAAAGTAAAATAAGGGAACAGAGCAATGACAACTTGAAACAATTAACATTTGTTAAGGGATACAGAAAGTGAGCAACAAACGTAATCAATAATAACGGCAACAAAACATGCTGTAAACTCCGACAGTTCTACCAACATGACAGGGAACACTATTAACACCAACAATAAAGCAAATATAAGAGTTGTGTACAATACATCCACAGCAATTAACACACTTCTAGCTACAGTACCAACAAGAAGATTATTACAACAGGTGTACAAAATATTTTGTAGTAATTGTGACAAAAAAAGAAAAAATTGAATGAAACCCTTCCAGAAATTAACATCTAAGGTTTCATGAATGTAAACATACATGCCACTGCTAAACAACAACAATGGCACAAGACAATTAATTAGCAGCCCCCTCGTGAACTTTATACAGATGCTAAACTCACCAGCAAAGAAGAAAAGAACAGACGAAAGTGCATAGAATAGGAAGCCATCAAACACTTCACCTTCTAACAGAACCAAGAAAATCTGTATTACCACTTGCCAAATTAATACTACTATAAAATATAGTGAGAAATATTTAATCCTCCATGCATGGCCATACCCTACCTTCTTCCTATATTATCAGCAAGCCCTGACTGACTGGTAAACAACTGTGTTAGATCTTATTGGGTGCTAATTACTTACAGGAAATATGCTAACTTTGGTAAAGTTTACTGCTAACTTGGCGGTTCTCTACAACAAAGTCTTGTCACCAAGGACACCCAATACAAACAAAATATCAGCTAAGTTTGTCAAAAAGTTAAGAAATCAAGGTTTTATTAATGCTAAACAAATTTATGTTGTATATACACGTATACATGGGGTAGACTGATGCATATAAGGTTCAAGTGGGGAGGGGGTCCTCCAAGACGTCCTATTTACTAACGACGACTATAATAATTCTTCTTGCCATTGTGCAATACCTACTTAGATCGATTATAATGGCTAAATTCACAAATCTGCAAATAAAGAATATTTATCTTAAATGAATTTCAGACTATCATGCAGACTAGCACAAAAAGGGCTCAAAGCCGGTTGGCCAAGTGGACAGCACGCTAGACTTGTGATCCTGTGGTCCCGGGTTCGATCCCGGGCGCCGGCTAGAAACAATGGGCAGAGTTTCTTTCACCCTATGCCCCTGTTACCTAGCAGTAAAATAGGTACCTGGGTGTTAGTCAGCTGTCACAGCTGCTTCCTGGGGGTGGAAGCCTGATTGAGGACCGGGCCGCGGGGACACTAAAGCCCCGAAATCATCTCAAGATAACCTCAAGATAAGCCAGAAAAATCAACCTTACCTACGCTGGTTTTGGGCACTGTATTTGTATTTCAATTTTCCAAAAATTTCTCCTTTATAGTCCATATACAAATGTGATTTTACCACACAATAGAATAAAACTAATTTCCATACTGTATTTTTTGTTAAATTCGTTGACATGGATTTAAGCACTACTATTTATAGCAAGGCAGCCAGCATGCTTAACAAATTCTTGTATACAAGACAAAACAAAACAATGCAAACAACAGTCAATTAGTGCATACACTTGAACTGCAAGCTTAAATGCAATCACATACGAGAGACACTTCAATAATACGGGTATTATACACACAGGTTTACACACACACATGAATTTTGTTAGTGACAAAAATATACAATAAGCAAACAAAAACATTATTATAAATGTTTAAAACATTTATAATACTGTATAAGAATGTTTAGCCAGTGAACACAAAGCAAATTCATAATTTATATATATATATAATGTTTCAAACAGAACATCAATATATATTACCGAACACTGTACTCCTACTCATCTTCAGTCTTCAAAATGTTAGTAATAATACTGTCAGAACTATTTAGCATATAATATTAAAGATCAGCGAAGAAGGTGCTAATTATTCAGATCTTAACTTTTAAATTTAATATCAGAAAAAAATATGCTAACCATTCAGACTGGCGCTCGTGGAAGGGACACACTTCATCCTGTATGGGTATCCCGGGAACATCAAGAGGCGAAGGTAACGATGACATTGATAATCTTAACGACGGGGTCACTGAAGCGTCGCTCTTGCAACTAGAAGTATCGGACATGCTAGCAGCAAAATCGTCGTCGTCTTTCTTCCTCATAGTGAAAGGCCGTTGTCTTAAAGTGCCTAATCCACGAGGTCTAAGTGAAATGTCTTCGATATCAACGCTTGGACGACTCTCCACGTTTGAAAGTTGGCACTGGTCTGGAGTGGTAGGCCGGCTACTGGGTCTGTTGCCCTGATGTATATACGGAGAGCCCGTGTAATAGCTTACTGGCCACTGTGTTCTATTCATTTGGGCTGGATGTGGGGAAGGGTATACAGGAGGGTTATAACCAGGAACTACACTTGTACATGGAATAGCATGTTGCTGATAGCTTAGCGTATTTGATATTGGTTCACCTAAAGCCATATGAGTCATCAAAGTGGGGAGTTGGTGAGTTGTCGTGGAGACAGGAGGCTGATATTGCCATGGCTGCTGCACACCTACCATCACAGTTCCTGACACAGACGCAGTGGTTGGCATAAGGTACACTTGCTGCACAGATTGTTGTGGAAAATTTGAAGTTAGAGAAGGATATATAGCGGGACTAGAGGGTCGGGATTGCACCACTGGGGAAGATGGGCGTGACCTTGGCACTTGTGACCCTCGCCCACGTGAATGGTGCAATCTGGAATATGAACGACCATGGGTCCCTCTCCTTGAATATGCTGCTGGAACACAGCCCGGGTGGCCATAGTTCACACAACGACCACAGGACTGACCAGTTAAAGTGCCCCCTCCTCCAGGGTCGTCCCCTCCACGTCTGCTGGGGGAGAGACACTGTCAAGATGCTGCCTCGGCCGCACAAATGCATCCTTACCACTACATCATCATACACTTCCTCAACAAAATACAGTAATATGCATATCACTGTAAAATACAATGGTATGCATATCACTGTAAAATACAATGGTATGCATGAACTCTGTTATAAGTTTAGCTAAAAGTTTTTCCAAGGTCTGTAATCTATAGAAATACAGAGAACCACATTAACATTCAGAGGCAAATATTTTAAATCTTAAATTAGCTATATATTTATTGAAGCAACCAATGAACGTTGATCAAGCAGAATACTATTCACAACTTTACATTTACACTTATTCAAAGCTAAACAAAATTCATAACGTCAATACTAAGTATTACATAGTACAGAACATCTCGGTGTAAGTTAATAAAAAACTCACATCTAGGCTTCCATATTCTATGAGATATAATTGTATTAAACTGAGCAATGTTAGAATGTTACAACTTTTACATTAATATACAGTACTGTACTGTATAGGTGAATCAAGGATTTACACAGGAAACCATTTCAAGACACCTCTCTTTAAAACAGTTTGAATAGTATTTAACAGAGGATCTTATGGGAAAAATAGGGTGTTCTAAGACCAAGAATTACTTATAATATATATACTGTATATATACAGTATACTGTATATATATTTTTGTAAATACTACAGTATTTAAGGTAAGAGCAAAATCCACTGAATATAACATCACTCAAAGTTAAAACCAGCCATTCAAAGTTTGACAATAGGCTCCATGGCTTACCCACACCAAAACACTTCTTTTTGGTTAAGATTTTCCATGAAATTTGTTTACATACATAATCATTTTCCTACTTCCCATTTTCATGAAGGAGGAATCAGCTAGGGAACAACCAAGAACAGCGTACAGTAGTGAGAGATGGTTATACAGAACATACTGAAGAAGAATATTAATTTTTCATTACATCATTCACACTACAATTCCACCTCGTTCGAACGGACAAATTAGGGCTGGACCTATTACCTTTTACCAAGGACTCAAGTTCATTGAGTATTTCCCCATTTTTTTGCTACATTATTTCCAATCGTTTTACTTTTTTTCTGACCCCATATATAATCACATGGTACATGGGTTAAACCCATGTACCAACTTCACTGATTAAAGTGATATGAAATGAACAGGTATATGGTATAGATATATATATATATAGATATATATATATATGGTATAAATGAACAGGTGGATAGTATAGATCCTGTGTTATAAATCCTACTTATTAAAGTGTGAAATGGAAGAACACCTTCAGAACTATTTAAGCGAATTGGGAAGAGAATGTAACATGTTCAAAGGTGCATAATACGAGCAGGAAAGATGGTTAAGAGCAGAATTCAGACTAAAATATACTGTCGACGCAAACACGTGATATTGAAGCAGTCATTTAATGAATTACAGTATATAACAAAAGAAATCTTAAAAACTGCACATGCAAACATGGATCAAATAAATCAAGACAAGATGATTAATAAAAGATGTACAATGGAACTTTGGTTTTCGAATGCCCCTCTTTCGAATTTTTCGGTTCTCGAGCTCTGTTTCTTCTAAAAATTTGACTCGGTATTCAAGGTGTGCCTCAGTGCTCAAGTTTGTTGATGCACATATGGGGTGACCGAGCACATGGCGCACTTCAGTCTACCACTGTCCCCCGCCTAGTAATGATCGCCTGGTTGATACCTGGTTAATGGGGTTCTGGGAGTTCTTCTACTCCCCAAGCCCGGCCCGAGGCCAGGCTTGACTTGTGAGTGTTTGGTCCACTAGGCTGTTGCTTGGAGCGGCCCGCAGGCCCACATACCCACCACAGCCCGGTTGGTCCGGCACTCCTTTGAGGAATAAATCTAGTTTAGTCTTGATGTCCACGGTTGTTCCGGCAATATTTCTTATGCTTGCTGGGAGGGTGTTGAACAACTGTGGACCTCTGATGTTTATACAGTGTTCTCTGATTGTGCCTATGGCACCTCTGCTCTTCACTGGTTCTATTCTGCATTTTTTTCCATATCGTTCACTCCAGTGAACGATATGCGCTTGAATTCTCTGACAAATTTCATTGTTTGTGCTTTTGTGGTTTCTGAACATAAAAGTTCTTATTATATATCACACCAGGGTTCCAAGAAAGTTAGTGGTAAAGTTCATCTAAGAGAATAGTTGAGAGGATGACAATAGAGGAAAAACAAAAGATCATTCATAGTGAAACAATGTGCTGAGTTAAACAAGTGTTAAAACGTTGGAAAAAAACAAGTATCTATAGACAGATTCTTACTAAGACAAGCAAGCAGTGAGCCACAACCAGGTCCTAGTGGTATGCCTGCGAAATGTAAGAGAGAGTACCCCAGAAATGTCATCACTGCTATTATAATGGAAGGGGACTCCCCTTCCAAACACTAACTCTCCTCCCCTCCCCCTTCCTCACTGTCTTCCATACGCCAACAGGAGTCCTTAATAAAGGTAAGATTTACTTGTACATACTGTAGTACAAAATATAAGTACAGAGTAGTAGTATGTATAAAATGTATTTTTATGTTAATATTTTTGGAGGTGTGGAACGGATTAATTCAATTTACATTATTTCTTATGGGAAAATTTGATTTTTGATTTTTTGATTTTTGAGCCAATCTATGGGAACGGATTAAATTTGAAAACGAAGGTACCACTGTACCTGAATGACAAAACGGATCCAGGAATAATAAGGAAGGCAAAAATGTAGCGGGGAAAACTGAAGTACTTCAGCATAGTGTGTGTTGTGCATACTAAAATGTTTTAAACATTTAAAGTAAATGTTTAAATGTTTGAATGTTTTAAACATTCATAATAAGACACACTAATGTCTTGAAGCAAACACCATATACTAGCACACTGTACACAATGGCAGTTTAAAATTCTTTCTAAACTAAAAAAGTAAGGCTACAGTACAACAAAAATAGAATTACAAAAAATAATTTAGAATATGAAATGTGATTTAATATGTGACTGAGCGAGTATGAAAAGTTTGTTCCTAAGCAGAACCTACAATTGCTTACTAAGGCAAGAGCCTTCAGAGGTCACTGGACACGGTCATTTACAGTCAGGAAGACTGGCACTTTATGCCAGCACAGGGAACCTTTCAAATGTTCTGCAGGATTATTATCATAGTTAATTAACTTGTTTGGGGGTGAACCCACTCTTTGACTTACGGTGTGACCCGTTTTTTAAGACTGGGAGCTTCCGGCCCACTTGTTGCAATGGCCTTGTGGCATATTTCCATGTGTAACCTTCTGGCTATTTTCCTCGTGCTGTGCCTTGTGGCGTTTGTTGGATATTCGAGTATACCTCAGATATATGCAGCATTTGACCATTCCCCCAGGATGCAACCTACAACAGTCAACTATCACCCAGGTTCATAATCACTGCTAGGTGAACAAAGGCTATGGGTCTAAGGAGACTTGCCCATACCCGTCGCCCTGCGTGGTATATCGTAAGGAATGCACTGTAGAACACATTATACAGCCTGGTATGCCTGTTAATTAGTTCATTCATAAATATTCTATGCCCCTTCAAGCCTTCCTTGGCATCGTGAGTGACTGTCAATGAAGTGCTCTCGACATCTTCAGTCAGACTACCTAGCCATTTCCCAACGACCACCCACAACAGGTCTCCTGGTCCCACATGTTGACGCAGAGAAAAACTGCACACAGCAGAAGCCAGGCCACAAGGGAGGAAATGGGGCAACCATTATTATTTAAAAAATTGTCTCATTTTGTAGAGGCTATCCATGCCCACTTTGTGTATTCCCCTCAGTACCTTGTGTGTTGTGATCATATCTCCTCTGTTTCTTCTAACTTCTAGGATTCAGAGATTCAGTTCCATTAGCCTATCCTCATGACTTAACCCCTCTTAACTCTGGTACTATTCTTGCTGCAAACCTCTGTTCTTTTTAAATTTTAGGTTTATGCTTCACTCCATGCAAGTGCTGCATATTCCAGCATTGGTCTAACAAATGTTACATAGATTTCATTGAAGGTGTCCTGATCCTACATGCTGCCGAAGTTATCGTGTTTGTGTGCCTCCAGTATTAGTGTTGGAATTATATTCTCTCCCAAATCATTCTCCCTTTCTGATTCCTGTAGTTGCCTTCCCTTCATGGTGTAGATGCCACCTAATTTCCTCTCCCTTTCTAATTTTCATTATCTTACACTTGTTAGGATTTAATTCCAGCAACCATTTGTTTGCCCACTTCTAGAGTTTGCCAATGACTCTCTAGCACCATTACCCTAAGGTGACAGGAACACCAGAAAGGTTCTCTGGTGCTAGTTAAGAATGTTCACCAACCTGACTGTTCATGACCCTCTCCAGTGGACTCTAGAAAGATTTTGCCCTAGAGAGCAACGAAGTAATGTAGCTCTGAAACAGCCAATGAACGTAGAAACTGTAAATATAATAAATTTTCCTTAATGCTGACAATACTGTACTTCCCTAGCTCAACAGCACAGCACAGTACTTATATGGCATTATCAGTGCCTTTAAATTATTATATTCATTGTCAGTCACTAAATAAAGTATGAATAAAAAAATAAACCTAACCAAATCTTTCTGAATTTTGTGTAAACATCAATAATATGGTCACAAATGACCAATTATCAGCAGCCTCTTACAGGAGCTGCAGTGAGTGGCTCGTGTGAGTGGTTCGTGTGAGTGGCTCGTGTGAGTGGCTCCTGTGAGCTGCAGTGTGGGGCGCACACAATGTTTTTTTTGCAATTAAAGAGAACAATCATTCATGTGATACTGTTAACATGAAGTGAATTGATTCCCTTGAAAATTAGCTCCATTAAAAATACAAATGATCATCATCGTTTTGAACAAAATTTGTAATCAAGTCATTGAAAGTGTTTAAAGTTAGAAACTCTTTACGAAATTTGTTAAGAAAGTACAGTATATATAATAAAGGATTAGATTGGCCAAATTTGTATTTAGTAATATTTAACTCCATTAAGTAATATTAATCAGCACTTAAGAATACAAGCTTAAGACACTCGTCTTCAGAAGCAACAGATGTTATGGTTAAACTATTAAAATAATTTAAAAATTCACAAGATACTTTAATTCAATTTAAATTCAACACTTATTTTAACTACAATTTGCATGCAATTTAAATCACCAGTAGAGCAGTGTAGAATTACACACACAACATACACAAGGGAGCCGGTCGGCCGAGAGGACAGCACGCGGGTCTTGTGATCCTGTGGTCCTGGGTTCGATCCCGGGCGCCGGCGAGAAACAATGGGCAGAGTTTCTTTCACACTATGCCCCTGTTATCTAGCAGTAAATTAGGTACCTGGGTGTTAGTCAGCTGTCACGGGCTGCTTCCTGGGGGTGGAGGCCTGGTCGAAGACCGGGCCGCAGGGACACTAAAAGCCCCGAAATCATCTCAAGATAGAATGTCAAGATAACCTCTTACATACACCTCTTTGCCTGGAACTTGGTAACAGATGAACCTACTGTATTTCAAAATGACAGTCTTATAATTGTCCATCCACTATATAGTAGTTATAGTAGTAAACCATTATATCCATAGACAGGATACAGATATGGGAAATGAAGACCAAAGAAGTCACAACTAAAGTCAGGATGCAACATGTCTCCCAATTACCAACTGACCCTTTTTCTATGACTAACTAGGATAACTCCCTGAACCATCCAAATCATACACCTTGACTCGCCAAGAGGACCAATACAACATGATTCACCTAGATCATAGAATTTCGAGACCGATATTTGAATCCTCCTTTACCGAGTAACATGAAGTAACGGCAAATTATGATCAATATTGAATTTACCGAGCTTGCCTCTAGGTAAACAAGCAGCCGCTATTGGGTTTATTCTGGCACAACTTCACCCTTTCTGGGCCAATGCTTTCTGCAATGTTTTTGTAGAGTGACTGGGAATGTACCAGTGTTCCCTCTGGAGTGATTGTGGGAGTGTACCAGTGTTCCCCTGGAATGACTGTGGGAGTGTACCAGCATTTCCCCTGGAATGAATGTGGGAGTGTACCAGTGTTTCCCTGGAATGAATGTGGGAGTGTACCAGCATTTCCCTGGAATGACTGCGGGAGTGTACCAGTGTTTCCCTGGAATGACTGCGGGAGTGTACCAGTGTTTCCCTAAATGACTGTGGGAGTGTACCAGTGTTTCCCTGGAATGCATGTGGGAGTGTACCAGCATTTCCCTGGAATGACTGCGGGAGTGTACCAGTTTTTCTCTGCAGTTGTGTGTGGGAGGAGACAGGTGCCTGTGTGGGTGTGAGGGCAAATGAGTGCCCCCAAGTTAGGGGACAAATGTTAAGAGACTAGTGTTGGTGGGTGGGAGGGAAGTGATGAATGTTGATGAGTGGGATGGAACGATAAGTGAATGTGTGTGGGAGGGAGCTACATCATTTTAATCAAGTATTTGGGGGGCCCTGAAAATTACTTGAAATATTACCAACATTTAATAACTTCACATTTAGCGACCATCCTGATTTAGGGAGTAGGGTACAGCCCTATATGTTCTTGAATTGCCAAATAAACTTCAAAATAGAAAAAAAATCATAAAAAATTACAATAATTTTGTTAAAACCATGCCAATATATATTTTATGTGAATAAATGACCAATTGATACACAATCCGGTAAAAAATTATTCCTTCAAATACCTGCTAAATTTAATGAAGGAAGCTTCAGTTAGTTGCTTTTTAATATTACTATAAAATGTTTATCTTAGCATACCATGCACAATCAATTACTGTAGACAGTCCATTTGTTAGTCATGACATGCATGCATTTCATTAAATTACAAGTTACTTTGTATGCACAATTTTCCATAAACTATTAGCAATTTCCCCAACTGTCTTTCCAGGTATTGGGAAGGAAACATAGATGGTTTGCAAAGAGGAATTTTTTTGGATTATGTCGATTCATGAGAAATGCGAGGGAGGTGAAATATATAGAGGCCCAACTGTAATCAAACCCCGCATGCAGCTGCATAGAGTAGCTAGATTGTGGAGAGGTAGAAGAAAATATAGTTATGTTAGAACTGTTAGATGGGAAAATATGTTAAAAAAATATTGAAATGGAAAGAGAATATGTGAGAGTCAAATGAAGGAATGAAATAAAGTTGGAATTGAGAAGAGTGCACTTATATGTCATAGTATAAAGAGCAATAATGGTAGAGAGGACGGGCCAGAATATGTCTACATTTATTTAAAAGGGTGCGAGGCATTCAGGTGAAAAAATATAGAGCTTTGAGTGCATACGAAAATCCCTTTTCTGAACAGTGAACTTGGTTGTTACATAACGCAGGATCCCACTCATCTCCAGTTAGCATATACTACCACAGTCAGAGCACATCAACATCCCACTCTTCTATAGTGAAACACTACTAAATTGCTCCACTCTTCTCAGCACAATGTATTACCAGACACAAAGCTAAGAAATGGTGAATTTATTGGAAAAAATAGAGGATAAAATCAGTGCTAGTGTAACACTGAGAAATGAAAGAATCAGATGGTCAATTAATTTGTAATAATTCTTAATTAAAAGTATTTAGGAACTACAAAGAGAGTGTGGGGTAAACTCAAAGAGGAGAATCACCAGTGTTGAAAAGCATGAAAGCTTGAGCATAAAGAAAACAACTATGGTCAGTGGTTGGTTCAAGCTCAGACACACACAAGGGCCTGTCTACATACACACGCAAAATATTCACTAGTGTAGCATAAGCCCGCCGCACAACCAAAACAAAGTCGCATGGATAATACAAGCTACTTTCTCAGTTTTGGTCTCCACCTGGACATAATGTGTAGCTGAGACCACTTAGGACAGAATGTGAGGAGGTTGATGCTAGTGCGTTATTGTGGTGTTGGTGGTACCACCAGGTGTCAGAAGAGAGTAATAGCTTCGTAGGCTGTTTGGTACAACAGCCTATGAAGCTAGCTAGCGTACAACTTGAAGATCTTTTAGATACCAGATTACTACTGGAAAGGATTTTGATTTGAAGTTATGTCCATTTATGCCTACATTGAAAACTGAATTGAGTACATATTCTCCAGTGTCTTTCAAGTGTCGGTAAGATCCCCCAGGAACAGCTTGAAAAGTTCTTGAGTGAAGAACATTGACCAGCTCTGACTTGGTCAGATCCTAACCAGAGGTCAGTAGGAGCTTGCTTTACGAGCAAGTGGGATAGCTCAGAAAAGATGATTCAACCTACAGAATATTAACAGAAAAATGGATAGATCAAAGCATGAAAATATAATAGATAGAAGCATAAAATAACTTTAATAAAAACAGTGAAGTTATTTTATTGTGCTTGAAATGCGCTTAGTATTGTAATATACAACTGTCAATACAGCTCAGTGCTCAGTGCCAACTATCTATCCGCTATAATACTCGAGAGGAAATTGACCAATACTAACGTTTTGGAGAACTCAACTTGGACGGAATGATCAATAACCAAGTCAGCTGGGCAAATAGGGTTAATGTGCTTCGGGTCTCCACCCAATTCTTTAACAGCATCCCGCATTGCTGCAAAATCCACGACTGCAGGTACTCCAGTAAAATCCTGAAATGTCAGCAATAGCATAAAAAATGGCAAAAGAATATATTCAAATACAGTCAATACATATTAAACAATATAAGCCTGCACAATCAAATCACAAGAATGCAATGAATCGATGAATAAATATTGAGGTCATACGATGGAATCAGACCAGCGTCCCTGACCTTCCCAGATGCAAGCACTACTGGTACTGTGTGCCCGAGGACATCAGGGATGTAAGTTCAATTCCATCACACGACCTTAATATTCATTCATTTATAAACTTATCTGTAAATAAAAGATGGCTTAACTGAAATATAAACAGGCCACTAACATGAACATTTTAAGAAGAGGAGTTTCAAAAATATTAAAAATGAGTAGTATTACACTACCTAAATTAAATTCCTTCAGAATACTATTGGTGGCCTTTGTACAACCAGTTCTGAAGTCTGCAGCACCAGCATACTTCAGAACTGTGTTTCCCTAGGCTCGTACCTAGTGAAACATACAAGCTTACAAGGTTCAGACTTAACATCGCACTGAGAAATAAAGACAAAAGTGGAGAAGTCAAGACTGTTCAAGATGAGATGTATAATTAAAATACACAAATTGGAAACACAGGAGTGTAAGGATGTACACCTTCAATGAACAGGCAGTGAACACATGGATTGACCTGAAGGAAGATATACCGTAGTTGATGTCAACTCAGTCCATACAACTTTAAAAGCAGATAAAACGAAGTTGTAGACAACTGTGAGTAGCTTGCAAAAGATACCCGAAAAAGTGAATAGGAAGGCTGGTATAGATAAACCTCTCGACCTACAAGCACATCCCATGCAAGCGAGAAAAAAGGGAGGGGGAATGTGTTATTAGGGCAGAAGAGAGTATAATCAATAAAAAAAACACAATTTGCAGCAGCACAAGTTTAGAAAGAGCAGCAGACGGTCGTCTGATCTGGACTCGTGTAAGATATTGTCACTTTAATAATGACTAAAAAATTATTTTACTTGGAAAATCTTTTACTAATTTACATAACTTAGTTTAAATAAATGAAAATAAATTTGTATTGGTGTTTAACCTATGACTCACCTGAAGAATAACACGGGCTGGCCGAAAAGGTACCTCAACTCCTTTGGCATCATTCTGTTTATTTTCCCAATCCAAAATATTGTCAACATCCTCTTTTTTCACCTGTAAAATATATACATATCTTAGTAAAATGTTGAGGGAGAAATCTAGCAGATTGTTTGGTAATTAGTCAGAATGTAGATGGTGATCTCTGCTTTACCAAGCTGTACCTGGAAAGGCTCAACTTTATGTAAAGCGCATTTTATCTAAATTTTGGACTGTATTTAGTATCGTCTAATGTCTTCCTAGCATCATTATGATCCAGAAGTGGTAGTTTGCAAAGTTGCCTAGTGTGCTAATGTGGATATCAACCTGCAGCAAATTTTAATCATAGGATAGTGGCATCTCCTTAGGAAGTGCATTGCTAAGAAGTTTTTCATATTTTGCTGTAGTGTACACTCAAAGCTGGAACACTGTACATAAAAATTTATATGATGCTTCCTACCTTTTTTAACACTTGCACAAATCGTTCTCAATTTACTTTCAAATCTCCAGTAAAACCTGAATACTGTACAAACTTCACTGAATGCACAATACAAAACACTTGAGCTCGGTCTCACCTGGAAGTTATCACAGTTTCGAACAGCAGATTCCAACAAGACCCTGATGCTGAAAGGTAGCCGTTCTGAGAGGAAACAAGATAATATTTCAGAAAAGTAAATTTCAAGGTCATAATATCTTTTTTTATTTTTCTTATTTATTCTGTTAAAATTGCATTTGCACTAAAAATCATCAAAATTTTAATTAAAAAAAAAAAAATTAAAAGGCCTTTGGCTAATGCAGACTTGCATTAGTACTAATGTACTGTAATTTCAGATAATTGGGATGCCTCTGTTATCTTGAGTTATCTTGAGATGATTTCGGGGCTTTTTTTAGTGTCCCCGCGGCCCGGTCCTCGACCAGGCCTCCACCCCCAGGAAGCAGCCCATGACAGCTGACTAACACCCAGGTACCTATTTTACTGCTAGGTAACAGGGGCATAGGGTGAAAGAAACTCTGCCCATTGTTTCTCGCCGGCGCCTGGGACCGAACCCGGGACCACAGGATCACAAGTCCAGCGTGCTGTCCGCTCGGCCGACCGGCTCCCCAGTACTGTAATATCTTGTATAGATCTTTAAAATAAAGTGCTTCACAAACATTCTTACCATAGCGAGAATCCTCAAGACCAAGAAGATTGTAGTACTTGAAGCTGTCATCTCCAATCTTTATTTCAGACAGGATGTGAGAAAAGGGGTTTGGCCCTGAAATAAAAACATAGGAGTATGTAATAAAACATAGGAGTAGGTAAATAAATGAAAAAGTACCGAATAAGAACAACACTGAGGAGTAATGATACTCGAAAAAGTCTTGCCCAACTATGCAAAGTTTACCATAATGGCAATGAAAGATAAAATAAATTCCAAAACAAAAATACAATGAGTTATTGTACTCACTAAATAAATTGTTATATCCATTTAAATTAAACTACTGTACTGTAATTTAATAGTCATTATTAAAATTATGAAGTGATATAATAAAAACAATCACTAATTTAAAATATCATAAAATAAAATTCTACATAAATTAGAGATGATGATAATCACCTCTCCTCTAAAATTAATGGTATATCATGGATTAGTCTCCATAAGAACTTAACAGTTTCTAGTTAGTTAGTTTAGTTCATTTTTATGCACCCCATACCCATCTTGTGGGCGGTAGTGGAAAGGGCTACAGAGGCACATAATGGGCTCAGGGACTGAACCCCACAATTCATTTAGCTAAGCAAGTTACAATCTTGATGAGCTAGTTACAAAATTCAATATAAGTCGTCACATCAACACTGGGTTCGAGATCGACCACAAGTACAGGTTCTAAATTAAGCAACTGACATATGTGGAGAGCTAGTGTCAAAATTTATATGTTTGTCCTGCACACCGCCCCCATCCAGTGGGCAGCGGTGGATAGGTTACAATCACTCAGTTACTACCTACAGTTAGCAAACTGAGGATATTTGGCTAAAATTTCTGGTAGCAGATCATTTTGAATGAAATATTTACACATCGCTGGAACATTGGTTATAGAATTGTCTCTAAATTCACGTATCTTCCCATGCATGAGTTATGTAAGCCAGAACATAACTTTCTATTACATTTTGTGTATCACTCGAGGAAAGACTAGATGAATGTACCTTCCTGGGATAATTTTGTGCTCTAGTACCGACTGTACTTGATTCATTATCAAGATGCTACATAATATCCTTGGCTTGGTGCCTTCTTTTGATAATTATATAATTGTATCTATTATAAGCTGTAATTATTTCGTGGGTGGTAGAATCGTATGTCTCCAAAGTGATGACGTATCAGGACTCCTATGGATGTACTCGTAAAATAACAAAACAATACACCTACAGGGAACATACAGAAATACACGTCGCATAAATGCAAGGGAATATGCACAAAGGTCACAAAATAATGAAAACTCAACCCCAAACTCATAACACTGAACATTACAGTTCAGTATACAAAAACTTCCAGAGAACAGAAAATACAGTACCACGGAAAAGTCAACCGTGAATCAGAAATACGGACACTCGTTCGAGATTGCAAGCTCTTAAGGGTTATATTGGGTACTATGCATGAATAAATAACATCTTTTTATATGCTGTAATGAAGTGAACCATGGTAGTTAACGTATCCAAGAAGTTGGGCAGGCTAAGTGCCATGGTGCACAATAAATCTTTTCAGAAACTGCAACCAATGTTCCAGCGATGTGTAAATATTTCATTCAAAATGATCTGCTACCAGAAATTTTAGCCAAATATCCCCAGTTTGCTAACTGTAGGTAGTAACTGAGTGATTGTAACCTATGTAATTAAACTAACTAACTAACTGGCCAACATTAAACCTCCCTACTCGCAGACCAAAATTAATACTGTACTCATAAACGACATTATCCCCCATTAAAACATGAAACAATAACGAGATCCTTTGAGCTAACTATAAGATGCCAAGATTATATCAAGAAACCTCCCGTTGGCCCTATAATATAGAGAAGATATCAGTAACATCAGACACCAGACCCAGTCACCATTGACCAGCTAAGAACCTAAGAACATAAGAACAAAGGTAACTGCAGAAGGCCCATAGGAGGCAGGTACACCCAGGTAATCAAGAAATATACGCGTATATACGCCAATATATGCCAATATATGAGACACAAGGGTGCCCAAAGGTGCAAATCAGCTGACTGAACCATGATCACGTAGTCCAAATCACTCATCTTAAACCTTCCCCTCCTTAACACCTTCTTCAGGAGGCCCTCAGGACCTTCCATCAGGGGACCGGACGCCTCCTTCAGCACCTCCTGCCTGGTGGAGCCCCTAGGGCGCCTCTAGGGGCCTGAACATGAGGGTAATATGGTCTCACCTTCGCTAGCCATTTCTACGTGTTAGGCGGCCTGGTGTGAGAGTGAGTGAGGGAGGGGAGGTGGGAGAGAGGGTGGGAAAGGGGTGGGAGAGAGGGAGAGTGATGGTGGCGACATCTCTGGGTAAGGAAGGGAGAAATCGTCCCCTCACAGGTGGCTGGCCACCCATGTAATTGATATTGGAATATGTTTATGGAGGTAAAATACACATAAAGGGATGAGGTAGCTCAAGCTATTCTCAATCCTCGTTCAGTACATCGTGTTAATATGTACGTAGATACACATCACAAGCAATATACATATTGCCAAACATTCTGAGAGATAGTATACATTTCCTCCTTTACACAAGTAGTATGGTATCAGAATTACACATAAATACTTGATCCCATGATCCACCTAGCCACCCATGATCCACTTAGCCATCAGCCAGCCTCATTCAGCCATGTGATGCATGTCTCTCTTCATACCCATCTTGTGGGCGGTAGTGGAAAGGGTTACAGAGGCACATAATGGGCTCAGGTTCAGTCCCTGAGCCCATTATGTGCCTCTGTAAGCCTTTCCTCTACCGCCCACAAGATGGGTATGGGGTGCATAATAAGTGAACTAAACTAACTATAAAACGTTCCTCTCCATCTGTCTTCTATCGTAGGCTATTCTACGCTTTATTGAGTATAATTTATACGACATGTATGCCTTGCAAAGTGCTGAAGGAGGCAATCACGGTCAGAATGAATTAAAAGGAAGCACGCGAAAAGGGTAATTAGTGTAATGGACAGGGATAAATCATGCCTAGCTGACAGACATGATTACAAGGTCTATATAACAAGGCCACAACATGAAAAATGGACGGGATCGCCATAGCCTGTGCTACTTGCCCCGCTCCTGTGCCAGGTAAGTTACGGACTCACCATAGCCCGTGCTACTTGGAACTTGTTCCGAGTAGCTGAATCTATAACAAGAATGAAAATGACGCATTTTCCTCGAGATTGTCACACAAACATTTGATAGTATATTGCCTTATATAGTTATCAAGGACTGACGAATACAAGATATGAAGGGAATTAGGATAATTATGGCCTCGTGGCTTGCTGTTTCAAAGTTCAACAAGCCACAATGTAGGACTGAAAACAGGAGATGTTTTTTCACTCACAGGGTTATAAACCCATGGAACCGCCTACCTGCTAAAGCCGTAATTGTCATAACTTAAATGTTAAAATCCAGCTGGAAGATCATGGCAAATGGGGGGACCTTAGACAAGCCGCCGGCTTCCTATTTTTTAGAGTTATATACAAGAACTCTAGTATATATAAATACATACATATCCTGTTGACCAGACCACACAATAGAAGGTAAAGGGACGACGACATTTCGGTCCGTCCTGGACCATTCTCAAGTCACAATCGACTTGAGAATGGTCCAGGACGGACAGAAACGTCGTCGTCCCTTCACTTTCTAGTGTGTGGTTTGGTCAAGATGGTCTGAAATATGGTCAACATATTTCAGCCACGTTATTGTGACTCCTCGTCTGTCTATACATATCCTCGTCAGGGCCACTAGTGCTAGTGGCCCTCGGGTAAACTCAGGTAAATTGTATCTGTTATATTTAACCATAGTCCATAGTTTATACATTCCATTCACAGTCGTTATAGGTACTATTACTTTTAGAGGATGGGTTAGAGAAACATTGAATTGGGTAAAGGAATACCTGACGCAGAAAAACCAAAGAGCCACAATTAGAAAAGAGGTGTTGTGCTAGCAGGGTGGATATCTTGAGATGATTTCGGGGCTTTAGTGTCCCCGCGGCCCGGTCCTCGACCAGGCCTCCACCCCCCAGGAAGCAGCCCGTGACAGCTGACTAACACCCAGGTACCTATTTTACTGCTAGGTAACAGGGGCATAGGGTGAAAGAAACTGCCCATTGTTTCTCGCCGGCGCCTGGGATCGAACCCAGGACTACAGGATCACAAGTCCAGCGTGCTGTCCGCTCGGCCGACCGGCTCCCCGGTAGCCTCTGCGAGGATAGGAAATGCAGGTTGTTAAAGGGTTTAACCCTGAACGTGAATAAATTAATAAACATCGACGGGATAGATAGGCCAGAATTTCGCGTACCACATGTCAGACCAATCCTGGAGTATGCAGCTCCAACATGCGAATTCATACCTAGTCAAACATAAAACGAAGATGGAGAAGGTTCAAGGGTTTATTACCAGACTAGTTCCAGGACTAATAGGTCCTGGAACACTTCACTTCAGCCTCAACACGGTTGTTGAGGCTGACACTTCAGCCTCAACAACCCGAGTGCAACTCCATAATCTCCCGAGACTGCAGGGGTGCCTACCATTACCATAAATGGGAATTAAAGTTCAATTTATTGTTCGTGTATGCCTAAGAATCTTCCCTCTATTCTGAGTTTGGCTTACGCTGTTGTTTGAGAAGATTTTCTTAGCTGAGAGTTAGGCTGATGTACATAAGAAAGAGAATAAGTTGGCCGCGGGCAGTATAGGAGTAATGTCGGTCACGGTAACATGTTGGTTTTTATCACTTAGATAAGATATGGCAAGATGTGGGTGTATTGAAATGAGGAACTCCTATATCCAAAACAGTCGGCATACTGTACAAAAGCAAATAATATCTTCCCTTTCCCCCAACTCTGCATTTTTAACACTACTACTCAATAATTCAACCCTATCTAACTTATGTATCTATGCCTATGGTTCACCTTCTATTAATACCTCAAACCCATCTTCACTCAGCAAAAATCAGTTATCACAGCGATAACAAATTCTGTCTTTTGACAACATACAGCCTTTTTTTTTATTGGAGATCTATTGAATAGTAAACCATACATATTAGATATTTTATTTTATTATTTTGTATAGGTCAATTGACCCAGGATGCAGCCTACTACAGTAGCCTAACTCCCGGGCACCGATTTTCACCTCGGGATCATTTAATTGAAGTAACCTATCAGTATTTTCTTATCAGTGTCTATATACGGGAGAGTGATATCTAACTTTGTCCATCTTACCAACCTTTTTTAAATACCTGTTATGTTATCCTTTCTTCTGACGTTTGAATTCTTTGCTGAATCTGGCCCTAATATTGGAGGTGGCTTCCACAACTTGTTTCAGTGCATTCCACTTGTTGACCACTCATACAAAGTACCAGTTTTTCCTTATATTTCTTCGACTCAATATAATGAGGCTTTCTATTTTCTCTGACGTTCCAAACAAAGGGGCAAGAATACTGTATAGTCTCTGACACCAATTTGTAGCTTTCAGATTCAACTCCATTAAAACTACCCTATGAGTCCTTAAGGTAGATCATATATATATATATATATATATATATATATATATATATATATATATATATATATATATATATATATATATATATATATATATATATATATATATATATATATATATATATATATATATATATATATATATATATATATATGTGTGTGTGTGTGTGTGTGTGTGTGTGTGTTATTAAATATGACCGAAAAAGTTAGATTAATAATTCTAACACGAATTTTCTCAATATTTTTTATGTTTCTTTTCACTGTCGATGGTAATTGAAAAATCAATTCTCCAAAATTCATTTTTATTTCTAGTCTGACGCGACACTTGAACACGTTTCACCCTGTAACCTATCTCTTGTCTTGTCACCCTGAGGTCCCTCAGGGTGACAAGCACCGGCCCCGCCCCACACAGAGAACACTGGGAAGCTAAACCCAAAACTCGACCCCCAACTAAAACCCGAAAGGCATCCGGTGCCCTCCAGAAGAGCAGATACCAGGCCCACCACGGCTGAGGGCCCACCAGGAGCCCACCACGGCTGAGGGCACACCAGGAGCCCACCACGGCTGAGGACACACCAGGAGCCCACCACGGCTGAGGACCCACCAGGAGCCCACCACGGCTGAGGGCACACCAGGAGCCCACCACGGCTGAGGGCACACCAGGAGCCCACCACGGCTGAGGACACACCAGGAGCCCACCACGGCTGAGGGCACACCAGGAGCCCACCACGGCTGAGGACCCACCAGGAGCCCACCACGGCTGAGGGCACACCAGGAGCCCACCACGGCTGAGGGCACACCAGGAGCCCACCACGGCTGAGGACACACCAGGAGCCCACCACGGCTGAGGGCACACCAGGAGCCCACCACGACTGAGGACCCACCAGGAGCCCACCACGGCTGAGGGCACACCAGGAGCCCACCACGGCTGAGGGCACACCAGGAGCCCACCACGGCTGAGGGCACACCAGGAGCCCACCACGGCTGAGGGCACACCAGGAGCCCACCACGGCTGAGGGCACACCAGGAGCCCACCACGGCTGAGGGCACACCAGGAGCCCACCAAGACCCACCAACTCCCGGCACCTCTGGACCAAGCCGGCGCCGGACACCGTCACCCCGCCAGAAGAACCAGCCAGAAAACGTTCAAAATCCACCAACTATCCTGTGACCCGCGGCGCTATGTGCGCCAGGCGTCGTAACAATCCGGACCGTGGAATAGGAATGCCAAACGACAGTATCAAATAAAAAGTCGCGAAAACAATGTCATCCGGCGGCTCCCAGGCGGAGGAGGTGTCCAGACGTCCGCTTCTCGTCAAGATTGAACCGAGTCCGAATGCAAAAAAGTTGACACACAAAGCTGATTGATTGATTGATGAAGATTAAGCCACCCAAAAGGTGGCACGGGCATGAATAGCCCGTAAGTGGTGGCCCTTTGCAGCCATTATCAGTATCATTATCAGATCTGTGGATCGAGTCAGTAGTTGTAGTAATAGTATAGTAGTTTATTTACATTAATAACACAAGTGAAATACAGGGTACAGTTTAGACTCTCTCTCATAATATTTTGTTTGGAAAATAACAGAACAGAACATAGAGTAATATAATAATTTAAGGTCAATGGGGCCACAAAAGATTACAGGATTATTATTTACATTCGTATATGCATTAAATACACGATATTATAGTCTTGTCACAAGAATATATGTCCCACTTATCTGTGTATATATACTGAAAAATGGCTTTGGTTCTGAATTACGATGTAGGTAATGGTTGTTTAGTAAGCTTATATTATTATATTACGATGATAGGACTTAAGTCCAACACTAAACGAAATTAGTCGTAGAGTAAGCAATGAATGAGTGAACTATGAGGAGAAAGCTCCAAGCCATTACGACGATATGCGATAGCTATACTAGCTATATGCTGTATTGTGCATATTAATTTTTGTTAAACTACCATTCAAGCTGTCAATGCAATCAATCTGAGCTACCTATGTGCTTTAATATATCTACAAATTTCTCTCATCTTTTATTTTTTTTCTTGCTATGTATCTGTTATCATTTTTATAAATTTTGCTAGTATTTACCTACTTAAAATTTTCTTAGATTAAGGACCTGCCCGAAACGCTGCGCGTACTAGTGGCTTTACAAGAACGTAATTACTATGCTATGTAGCCTCACAATCCAAATGCACCTTCTTGTATATATATAAATAAATAAATATAGCACTTGGAAGAGGTCAGGATAAGGATTTGGGATGGGACGAGAGGGAAAGAAATGGTGCCCAACCACTTAAATGGTCGGGGATTGAACGCCGACCTGCATGGTAGAGTAAGCAAGTAATTATCAAAAGAAGGCGTCAAGCCGGTGAGACTGCAGCAGTAATTAATACTTAGTTTAGTCCATTTATTATGCACCCCATCTTGTGGGCGGTAGTGGAAAGGGTTACAGAGGCACATAATGGGCTCAGGGACTGAACCCCACAATTCGTTTAGCTAAGTAAGTTACAATCTTCATGAGCTAGTTACAAAATTCAGTATAAGTCAAGCAATTAGTAGTGTGGCTAAAAAGAGTTAAAGTTTTTTTTATTATTTTCTACCACAGACGTGGCCACACATTTACAATGCTAACCAGCATATATACATTTTCTTCTGTCCTCCATGGACAGGGTTAGAGATGTGTTAAACATATAGCTCAGCGATTTATTGAACAATCAACCACAGAAGGTGATTCGGTACTTTTAAAATGCTAAGCTAACCTACATACGTAAATACATAGATACACAGATTTACGTATGCCCTACATAAAGTGTTCGAAGTGTCATTAATGTGTATTTACAAATTGAAATGCAATTCTGATCAGCTTCCATATGTACTTTATACACCAGAGTTAAAGTGGCGGGTCCGGGGTCGAGGCGCCCCGGCTGTCACCCACGTCACTCCGGCCACGGACCACAACCGATCCAAATAGTGACTAAGCCTACGAGGACCTTTGTTGCGGTCGCTCTCCTTAACTTCTTCAAGTTCCAGTAGTCAGGGGCTATTGACGTGGCTCATTTCGAGGCGGTTACAACTGGCTGACACAAGAGCTTTGTACAATGGCCAGTGGTGGCGTGTACAAGTTCCGTTGTAACCTGTTGGGACACTCAAAGGATGTGCGGGCTGTGGCCACCACACCGGAAGGTCACATCATCACAGCTTCCAGAGATACCACGGCTAAACTATGGGTTCCTCAGGACAATGGGTGAGCCACTGCTACTTTGTGTTGGGCATTTGGGTTCTCTTAACCCAATCAAAGCATTGGCCAATTACTTATTAACCCAATTGATTCGGGTTCGGAAAGTGCTCCGAACCCGAAGCATTATTGGTAGTATTGTAGTATTGCTACACCATTGCTACTCTGTTGTTTTTTTAATACAAATCTAACCTAACCTAGCCTATTCTATCCTTACCTAACCTAATAAGATTAAACTGACATCACGAAAGTAATCTTGTTGCATCTGTGCATATTTATTGCAACTCTTCGGGCTGTGCTTGTCTAAGCCATGGCCACATCCTAAGATATGTTCATAAAGTTGAATGTACCATGTAGCCAATTTTTTTTAATATAAATATTTATATGCAAGGCTTAGGATAGGTTTGATTTGTAAGGTTTAGTTCAAGTTAAATTAGGTTAGGATAGGTTAGGCTAAGAATAGGTTAGATTAAGTAAGGCTTAGGATAGGTTGGATTAGGTTAGGCTTAGGATAGGCTGGATTTGGTCAGGCTTGGGCACCTCTGCTTAGGCACACTAGCCGCCTCTGTCGGCAACAATTCAAGGTTAAACTTGGGATAGGTTGGATTAGATTTGCTATTTTGGTTCTGTTTGCAATTATTATATTATGACTAAAACAATAAGTATCACTAAACAATAAATGATTTATTGTTTAGAATGATACTTTATACAGAAGCCCATATTTTTAGGGGAGCACTGTACTGTACTATACATTCCAAAAAGCTATTTTTTATAATCTGGACCTATACTGGTATCCAAATAGTGAAGAATCTAATGGCAAGTGCTTTGATAACTAATCAAATAACCTATTGTTATTCTTTATTAGGTGCATGCCATAATAAATTCTAAGTATAAGAGACTTGTAATGCATTTATTATGTGTATATATTTACTTGGAAAATAAAGAGAACATTGATATAATTGGCAAGCTAGGCACAAGTGCAGCCTTGGTTTGGTTCTATTTAGACATACAGGATATGCCTGGAGCTGAGTGGGTCACTCTTTATAATGGCTGTTCTTCTGCTAGATAGGTTAAGCAGGGCTCGTAGGTGGAAAACATTTAAACTTTGTCTGACCATTCATTGGTCACAATGCAGTGATGAGTAGTGTACTAAAAATGATGCTGTGTATTAAAAACTGCTGTTGTATCAACTCGGTACTGCATTTAGTCAATTATTCAACTTGTGTGCTTGCAGGTGTGTAGTATTGGATAGGTTTGTATCTGCCCGAAACGCTTTGCGTAATGGTGGCTTTAGGCATTGTATATCATAGCCCTATCTATAAATCCATCAATCTTTGTAAAATCTCTTGTATATATGTACCTTACCTAAATAAACATTTATTTATTATATATTAATTAGTGTACATTGTAAATTATTATTATTCTGTGTGGTTCTCTATAATTCTTTTATAATTTAATTAACTTTTTGTCATTTCCAGGATATCATATATAGAGCAACAGGTTTACAAGGGCCATACTTCGTATGTGACAAGTGTGTGTGTAGTGCCGGGTGATAGTGACCATCCTGAAGGCTTGGTTGTGACAGGATCCAGAGATACAACCATCTTGATCTATTCAATGAATGGTGGATCACCTTTGCATGCACTTACTGGCCACTCGGATACCGGTACATTATTTTTTTTCTGTTGGAAAATTTATTATCTTCTAAGTAAATTAACTTCGTACTGTATTTGGCTTATGAAATAATCATACATGAACTATAGTCCCTATATGAACACCTCTTATTTTACTCTATTTACAGCTTAATTCAATAGTAGAATGTCTTTATTATAATTCAATATATCAAGTATTAGATATACTGTATAGTTATTCATTTATTTATCTGTATCCATCTTTAAGATAATAAAATAGTTTTATTAATGTACAATATATAGTTTTTACACAATATAAACTTTGTCAACAGTGTCATGCCTTGCTTGGGGTCATGGGCTGTTGATCTCGGGTTCTTGGGACCACAGCGGTAAAGTGTGGAGCAACTGGGAGTTCAGTTACGAGTTAAAGGGGCACAATGGACCTTTGTGGTGTGCAACATTTGTGCCAAGTAAAGGAGAAAGTGGAGATAAGAAATCCACCGCCATACTCACTGCCTCGGCCGACAAGACAATCAGGTTGTGGGTAGATGGAAAGGTGAGACTGATGCAATCTTTTGTTTAATTTACTGTATCTTTGCCCAGGAATTCAATATCGTCCAATTTGTATGCCTGTATTTTTTTTTTTAATCTTTGAAACGTACCCAATTTGAAATCCTTTGGAATTGTTAAAAACGGTAATTCTTGTCGTCCACAATTTGTCAATATTTTTCAAATCTAAGATTTGCTTAGCCACTTAGTGCCCTTCTAGTTTCTATCTTCATGCCTTCTTTAAAGTAAACTTATTTCCATTTAATAAAGTGAATTTGATCTTTTGTTTTGTTTCCCTAAATTATGCCTATTATTCATCTAGTTTTAATTGTACAGTACTAGTACTGCAGTTTGAAAGAGTATTGTTTTTGTTGTAACTTTCTAAAGCCTGCTTTAGTTTTACTTGCCATAATCACTTGATAATTTCCTTGTTTTGTGTTTGTTGCCTCAAAATTCTTAAATATTTTATACACTACAGTAGGTTTTATTAATAAACTTTGATTTGTTTTTATAACCTGCAGGAATGTAGAACATTTACTGGTCATAAAGACTGTGTCCGAGGACTGGCGGTTTTAAATACAGAGCGTTTTCTGTCCTGCTCCAATGATGCTTCTGTTATTCTGTGGGCCATCACAGGAGAGGCTCTTTCTACATATTATGGACACACAAATTTCATTTACTCGTAAGTGATTATTGCATTCTTAAATTTTTCTCATGCCATTACAATCTAAATACTGTAGCAGATTAATTTTTAAGATTTTTTTTTTTTTTTTAAATAGTCGTCTGTATTGGTTCAAGTGTTCAAAGAGCAACTCCAATCACTGGGAAAATTTTCTAAAAATATATCCTATTATGAGGTTATATAGTAATTTATTAAAAGGGCTACTCTCTCCCTATTCTTCTATTCTTTTCCACTTCTACTCTTATAATCCTTATGCCCATAAATGATGACTGGTACAGGCTGATGTATGACTTCTCATGGCACATTTGAAGATGTTTGAGGTAGCATGTTGCCCACACAGTGGAAACGAGCAATAATTGTCTCCCGCACTGTAACCAAAGGATTCTGGTACAGTAATTGCTGTGTGTGTGAAACTCGGCTGAGAAAGGGCTGTGAAAATTACATATGCTCTGTGCTGTGACAAGTGAAAATGAAAAATCACATGAAGTGTATATGGAAAAGCTCCTTTGTGAGTAAGAGATGCTTATGAGGAAAGTTAACTGAAAATTCCATTAAACAGCATTGTGATAGTCAGGGCAGCAGAGTGATATCTCCCACCTGTGCAACACAAATCTATACAACAATTTTTGTTGGGTTATATTGGTGCTACAGAGGCACTGTAGATCACCACAGTAGCTACACAGTACATAGTTATAGGAAGCTCACTCCCAAACACTCTAAGGGTTTTAGAGCCCTACCTGCATCAGCATCCACACCAACCTTGGGTTCCCTGCCTTGAGCCCATCACATTCTGACTGTTGTATAAAAAGATCTGTGCATCAGAGAATCAGGGATTCAAAGGGGGGAAATGGGAACATCTGTGCATCATGTTCTGAAAGGGGCTTTTTATATTACTACTGTATTGCTTACCTGAGCTACTAATATATCTATCCTATAAATTATTATAGCATGTGACATACTTCCATCCAGTCCCACCTTGCATCCAGCTAAACTGCTACAACATACCCCTTTCCCCCTCATTCCACCTTCCATCCAGCCCAACTATTGCAGCACCACTTATGCCTTCTGTACACTTCAGTATCTACAAACTGACACCCATTAGTCAGTATTTTGTCAGTGTTCTTCTCAAACTTTTGATACTTTTATTTCTGATGTGCTCATTCTCTTGACTCATTTATACTTGCTGGTATCAAAGAGGTACAAATTTGGCCATAATAAAATAATTGGGTTTGGAGAATAGAAAATACTATATCTGTGCCACCTATATACTAACATGGGTTTATCACTGACATTTCCAGGATAAGTCTCTTAGGCAAAGGACAAGACTTTGTTACCGGAGGGGAGGACCGAACGATGCGAGTTTGGGGAGCCAATGGCAATTGTATTCAGACTATTCACATGCCTGCACAGTCGGTATGGGCTGTAGCAGCCCTCCCAAATACAGATATTATCTGTGGATCAAGGTAAGATTAAATAACGTAAACATTTACATTAATGGTGTTGAGCCCCCTGCAGCTATGTTTGCAAGCAATCAGTCATTTATAAATTTTGTTTAATTATTTTAGTACTGAATATTGAATACAAGTACAGAGTGATGTCACTATTCTCTTGTAAATTTTAGCAAGTATTCTCTTAATAGTTTAATTTTAGAGCTAGAGATAATAGATGTTCTGTGGGCAGCATTTTAATGCTTTTTCTAAGGTTGTTTCCTTCTGTCCTTTCATGTTCATCTTCTGTCTCGCATGAATGCACATGCAGAGGACAGTTGTTATTCTGTGCACACATTCTTCTTTCCCTATCCAAGCAAGTAGTTAAGGCTTCACTTCTGTATACTGTAGCAAAGCCAGTATGTGCACTATGTTGACAGACATTTTTGGCGTTCATTCCAATCTCTTTTTAGCTCTTGAAGGTATTTCGTCAGTGACCTCACGATTACAGTGCCAGATGCATTATATATCTTTCATTCAATTAAAGGCATGTGAGATATTTGGAAAAACTGTGTGGCCATTCCCTCAAGGATAGGAAAGTTCCAAGCAGGGGAAAATGTATACTGTACTTAAATTTTTTATTGCAGTGTGGGGAAAGAGGGACATTGTTTTTTAGTTATGTCAACAGTGGTTTATGTGGTTGTTTAATTTTACCCAAAGTTTAGAAAAATAAAGGATCTTTTTACTTGTATTGGTTAAGCTCTTATTATTGGATTATCTGCAATATCAACAATGAATCAGGCTTTCAATCGCCACTTTTTATATATTTTGCACATTTTGGTCACATTCTTGCATCATGGCACCTTTGTGTGTGTGTGTGATTACCTAAGTGTAGTTACAGAAAGAGAGCTATGTTTGTGGTGTCTTGTCTTCCCAGTACTGTTTGTCGTGTGACGCTTTGAAACTATTGACAGTTTTTAACCTCCACCGCCTTCTCGCTTAACTTGTTCCAACCATCTACCGCTATAATGAAGTGAAGCATACTGTACATGTTCTGGTGTAGTGTTGTCAGGGACAAGAAGATTGTCAGGCTTATCGGAGTACTTAGTCAGTGGCAAGGCTGTATGTACAGTGACCCTTCCAATTACTGGTCAGACCCAGTGGTGATTGTGTATGAATGTGTGCCGATAGTTTATGTATTAATGCATGGGCATGGCATGTGGGTGCTTAAACAGAAGTTACTATATTAGAGACGCATCTAAACTCATTCTTCAGCTTTCACCTTGCCTCTCTGGAGCTCTGACCTCAAGAGTGTGCCAAAGTAATTACATCAGGATTATATTTGTGGCTGGAAATTGAGGGAGAGTATTAAATAATGCTAAGATGTGCAATTTATTAAGAAATTTGAAAAAATTTTGCTTTTGCAAGTATTTAGGATGTCTGTTTAATCTCGTCTGCATTAACCCTCAAACCGCTAGGGGCCCAAATGGAATTCACACCCACAGGCGCAACAACAACAAAAATTCCAAAAAATTCTTTCGTCTTATAGAAGTGTTCATTTTTGTTCCCTGATCACGGAAAAAATAACAAAAAAATCGTAGGTGGCATATTTTAGCCGCAATAGGGTAGAGAAGTGTGGCAAAAAAGGGGCGTTGGCAGAGCCTTCGCCAGATGAGGTCTACTCCGCCCGAGCTGTCAGACGGCAGTTGCCACAAATATATTATTACCTAATTATTTCAATGTCTCTGATTTTTTCTTAGTTTTTTGCAGTAATATTATTCCATACAGTGAATTGTGGTATATTTATATTATAAAATGTGTGAACCATCGCTGTACTCAAAATTATGGTGTGCATATTAGTGATTCAATTATTATGTTCATAAAACAATAAACAAATAGTTTTGCTGTTGTTACACTATATACACAGGTTATATGTAAGTATTTGCATGTTTTGTACACCATAACGAACTACTAAGTTGGTCTTGTGAGTCAAAAAGCAATGAGGAGTGACCGCCAAACACCAGCGAGCCACTCACTGCCACTCCCTCCCTCAACACCACTTCACTCACCCTCATTCACCTCCTACAATACTCTTTCTGTATTTATTCACTATACACAGACATTATATATACGTATTTACATGTTTTGTTCACCATAACTGTACATCTAAGCTTGTATGGTGAGTAAAGGCCACAAAGACGTAGCTACTCACACAGTCAGCTGATCGGCGGCCGCCCTCAAGGCCAGACACACTAATATTTGTCCTTCAACAATATTGTTTGTGGTGTTATTACGCTATTCAGTATACACATATTATATATAAGTATCTACCTGTTTTATTCACCATACCTGAACAAATAAGCTGGTATGGTGCCCAAAGACCATAGTGGCCATCAGTAAACACCATGCCAAGACGTGCAGACGACGCTCCTCCCTCGCCAAAATGGCGGCTCCCAACCTACTCCTCTCGCTGTTATCACACTCTATACACACGTTATATATAAGTATCTACATTTGTGTTCACCATATCGAACCACTAAGCTGGTATGGTGAGTGCAGTCAATAAATGGTGGCCACACACAGTCAGAAGACGACGCCACAACCCTCCCTCGCACAGCCTTACGCCTCCCTCCATGGAGCACAGCGCTAAATATCACCACAATCCTGCTATTATCAGAATCCTGGTCAGTTTTATCACAGTCAGGGGGCTTCAGTAATACTATCACTGCTAAATAATAGCAGTATCATTTATATTATGGTATTTGTAGGCGATGCTGTGGTCACAAGCTGAACAGCGGTGCTGTGAGCTCATGCTGCGTGCACCAGCCTTGGTGGCTTGCTCAATACTGACCCTGTAATACCCAAGAATGTTGGCCTGGATTTTTTTCTAGGTGGCATCTGGCAACTATCAGTCGTGGCTGTACTATAGCTGCCCCTATCCCAGGCGGGTTGTTTAAATTATAGCGCTAGACAAGAAATCATATATAAATGATGTGCGCGGTTTCGGTTTTGTCACTGATATCATTTATATATGATATGCGCGGTTTGAGGGTTAAAGCTTGATTTGTGCGGGTTTGGCATTGCACAGGTTTTGAAAAAAGAGCACAACTCCCACACAGAACAATGGCTGCCTGTACTACTTTTGCATTATCTTTAGCAGGATGTGTAAAGTTGGCACAATAGCTTAGCTTGTGCTGGTGGATCTTATGTCATTGGATAGCCAGAGTATCATTGTGCATAGTGCTAACTGAATCATTGTTATGCAGCATCATTATACCATAGTCCTTATGGAGATGAATTCCTTAATGCAGAATTTATTGCCTACTACCGTACCAAAATATTAAAAGTTCATGGAGTTGCTGGAACAATATTACGTGTGATAAGCATGCTATTATAAATATACAATATGCTGTAGTTGCTCTCATGTTCTTTGCATACAAAACAGAACACTTCCAGATAGCTCCCATATTTGTCATTCATGAGAAGGTGAGTGAATGCTGGTGGGGGAGAGTGAGCGAGTTTCCTAACCAAATTTTCCCATCCCATTATCACTAGGAAATGTGGCTGCTGGTGCAGCATAGTGTGGTTACTGAGGGGGGTCACTATATACATAATTCCTTAAACTTAGATTTTTTCCTGTAAGTGGAAAGGTAAATTCTAGGGTTTAGCGAGATTATTCTTATTCGGCTGTGGTTTAAATAATTCTATATTACAATTTTTTCTTAATAATCATTTTATTCATATAATTTTGCTATCTTTTATGTTCCCATTGTAGATACAACTGGCAAAGATTCAAGAATATCAGTGCTAGAGGTTTGGATGGAGCATTAATAATTTTGTAATATTATAACAAGTTCCTCAAGAAATGCATAGTTTAATATACTCTGTTTTTTACAGTGATGGTATGTGCCGTGTATTCACGAATGTTGCAGAACGGCAGGGTGACGCAGAGAGTCAAAAGGAATTTGAAGAGAGTGTTGCCAAGTCTACCATGGCTGTAGGTGATCTCGGAGGTATCAAGAAAAGTGAGCTTCCAGGTAAAGAGATTCTTTTGGCTCCTGGGAAGCGTGACGGACACACAGTGATGGTTCGTGAGGGTGAGAAGGTGAACTGCTATTCTTGGTCAGCCTCGGAACAACAATGGACTGCTGTGGGTGAGGTAGTGGGCGGTGCTGGAGGGTCACAGAGTACCTCTGGCAAAGTGTTGTATGAGGGTAAAGAATATGACTTTGTATTTGATGTTGAGCTTGATGAAGGTAATCGGCTTAAACTGCCTTATAATGCTTGTGAAGACCCATATTTTGCTGCTCAACGTTTTATTCACCATCATGAGTTGCCTCAGGAATTTTTGGATCAAGTAGCAACATTTATTATCAATAATACGAAAGGTATGACTCTAGGAGTGGAAGCTAGTGGTCAGTATACCGATCCATTTACAGGCGGTTCTCGCTACCAGCCGAGTACATCCCTTGGATCGGCTCCTCTTGATACCGACCCTTTCACAGGTAGTGGCCGATATATTCCTGGGTCATCGAGTGGCAGTCTCGGAGAGAATATTCCAACTGGTTCATCAACTCTGGGCGCATTGAGCGTCGCTCCTTCCTCCTCTCATTTCTTTCCCCAGTTAATACCTTTAAAGTTTGAGTCTTGCAATACTACCGGTATGCTCTCAAAATTAACAGAGTGCAATTCCATGTTGAGTCCAGAGAAACAGCTTACTAGCCAAATGCTTGAACAGGTGGTTGGAACTGTGTCAGTAGCCAAAAACTCTGATCCAAAACTTTTGGCTCCCTTGGAAACTGCCTTGCAGTGGCCGGTAGAACAAGTGTGGCCAGCCCTAGATGTGTTAAGGTTGGCATTACAGTCAGAGCACATGCAAAAGGAATGGCTAGTTAAGGAACGTGGATTAGTATTGATTAACCATCTTATTTCTCTCGTTCAACCGCCTTCATCAACTAATGCACAGCTACTTTCCCTTCGTTGTCTGACAAATATGGCTGCCCATGAACCTGGACGTGGTGTGTTATTAATGGCATGGGAACAAGTGGTCCGTGCTGTAGTAGAAATATCGCCATATCCTAACAAAAATATGGAAATTGCAGCAGCAACAGTACTTCTCAATTACAGTGTTATATTAAGCACTGCTGGAAATATAGAAAATCAATGTCAAGTTTTGAGTGGTGCTGGTGCAGTGGCCTTGTGCTCAAAGGAGCCGGAGGCACAATTCCGTGCTCTTGTGGCAATTGGAACTCTGCTGCATCACAGTACTGAATGTCGTTCCCTTGCGGGTTCTCTAGATTTAAAGTCTGTGGTACAAACCTTATCAGGGATTACATCACCTTCTAAAGTTGGGGAGTGTGCTGGACACGTACTGCGGCTTCTTTAGCAGTGAGGAGCTAGTAATGTGTACAATACTTTGTATCGTCTGTAGATGCTCTTTTAATACTGTAATGTCATATTAAAAGATTTGTATTAGCAATGAAATTGCCTTACATACTTGTAAATTTAACTGGTGTATAATTTGAATGTTGTGTTAATATTTAACATAACCACAGAAATTCAGCAATATGATTGTGCTCTTGTAGTGTGCAGCACCTGAAGGCTAGTGTTCATATTTAAAACAAAAACTGTATTGTAATAAATGGAAAATGTATGAAGAAAAATAAAAGCAACAAAATAAATACTTCAAACTATTTATACACTAAATTTCCTTTTGGTTTGATTTATCATGTTTCTAAATATTTGTATTGGTAATTATTGTTGTAATTAGTTACAGGAAAGAACAATGATTGCCGGCACCCCATCTTTGTCACCTGGTTGTGTGTGTGTGTATGTGTGTGTGTTTGGGGGGGGGGGAAGAGATCCACCTACCTCTAGGGGCCTTGTCTTATAGCTATTATTATGATAAATGATAATGATAAATGTTTATTCAGGTAAGGTACATACATACAAGAGATTTTACAAAAACTGATAGATTTATAGATAGAGCTGGTATATACAATGCCTAAAGTCACTATTACGCAAAGCGTTTCAGGCAGGATTATCTGGTGCACTTCTGTATATTTTGAAAAATTCAGTACTAGTACTTAGATTTTTAAACCTTTTTAAGAAATGGGCCTTCCTACTACCCTTTTTAAATAAGTTAGCTTGCTATTTTGATTTATTTGCCAGCAAACATTCCCTCTTGGAAGCAAATTAAGCTAAACAGGCAAATAAGTACTTTTGCATCTTCAGAATCCATGATGATATTTCTCCAGATACTACCATACTTCATTTTCATCCAGATATAATAGTTTCTTCAGTTCCTAACACTGATAAAAATGGTTTTGAGAGCTAGGTATATAATAAGACAATTGCCTGGATTTATGTTTGGGATCGGAAGAGGGGGTCCATTCATAATTATAGTTATTTTAAAATGACAGACTAGACAAAGAATATAGCTAATAAGTATCTTGATTAGTACAAAGCTGAACATAAAAATGGAAATTGAGAAGTAGTAATATACTGTAGCCCTGGATAGGGAGCCGGTCGGCCGAGCGGACAGCACGCTGGACTTGTGATCCTGTGGTCCCGGGTTCGATCCCGGGCGCCGGCGAGAAACAATGGGCAAAGTTTCTTTCACCCTATGCCCCTGTTACTTAGCAGTAAAATAAGTACCTGGGTGTTAGTCAGCTGTCACGGGCTGCTTCCTGGGGGTGGAGGCCTGGTCGAGGACTGGGCCGCGGGGACACTAAAGCCCCAAAATCACCTTGAGATAACCTCGCCACCCTTTCAACCATCACTTCCTAGCTAATGTTAAGAAATCCATTGTCTTTTGGAGCACATGATTCATGTTGCAACCAAAGTCCCTTTTCTCTAAGTGTATATACAATATGTGCACCTTTATGTACCAACATGTATGTTCTTATCGGTAGGGAAAAATAAGTTGTTGGGCCCACCTCTTCACCTATGGGGACTGTCCTACACTACTGTTTCTATGAAAGTTTCGCGAGTATTTATCCAATTGTAGTTGGAGAACTGTGCTTGTGATGTACCAATGTTTGTTTATACTTTATCTTGTACTCAATGAAAGAATGTGAAAGAAAGAAATAGTAGTAGTTCTGTGTGGTTGGTGTGTAAAGAAGATACATAATACAAATAGTATTAGGAAAAAAAATGCCTTATGAACTATGTTGGCACAGAAGAACAGGCATAACTGCTTCAGATTCTCGCTGAACCAAATCAAGTTTTTGTTTGGTTACTGAAACCAGTTCATTCTTCTAAATGGTAAATAAACTAATAATTTATGGTCTTCAAAATTACTGTCAGTAAAATAAATATATAAATATATTCAATTCTTACCCTGCATGATTTGGTTATGCACCCCATACCCATGCCATGACAGATAGTGGAAAGGGATACAGACAATGGGTTCAGGAACTGATAAAATAAAACAGGCAAAAATAAATTATGTATTGGATTTAAATATTTATTGCAAGTTCAATCTTACGACAATCTTATTTAAAAATTCTTTGAATCACTTCTAAGGTGATGAATATGAAATTTTCACACAAAATATACACACCGAGTCTTTAAGAAGCTTGTGTAAAAAAATAGCGTAAATACTGTACCACGCATAACAAACTGTTTACAAAACACATTGCCAGTTACAGCAGTAAAAATTTACTAAAGTTTTCTAAATTCATTTATAAACAAAACTAGAAATATTGCATAACTAGTGCTTTACTATGACTAAAAATTGTACAAAACTAAATTTATAGGAGCAGTTGAGGATTAACCTAATACATTATTGACAATAATAATAATACTATTATTAGCAAAACATTTTAACAAAGCTTCGGATATTGATTCAATGTAATAAACTCATTCGCTACAAAAAATTTAAAAACGTTATACAGTACAAAAATATTTTTGTATTATCTGAAAAAGCTAGTAAAATAATTTTGTAAATGACATTATATTAATTAGTTATTTTAAGGACCACTTAAAAATATTCCAAAGTAACATGTTTATTTTAAATAGTCAACCATTCAGACGTAATACTTTTCTTCAACACTGCCATGGTAGATATACTCAAAACCTGGCTGCTGACATATACTGCATTATCTTTATGTCAATGTACATGTATAAGCAGTATGTGTGTATTTATATTCCTACTGTATATATATATATATATATATTTACACATACATTATATACAGTACAGTACGTATGCATTACTTTTATTAAAATATCTACAAGCAAAAATACTGCATTATAAAAGAAAAACGGTAGATTTAAGAATCTGTGAATTCTGATACTGTACTGAGAAATTTAATAGTCTAGGATTACAAATATTAACATTTTGTATGTCATTTCCCTAATGACAGGAAAATAGCAATGAGGGAAGAGAAAAATACACTTTGAAAGAATACATAAATGGCAGTATATAAAGAAAAAGCTAAAGTGGCATTGCAAACGGACAAGACTGTGTGTGTGTTTGTGTGATAAAAATGCATAAATGAAATTGTACGATGAATGAGCAAAACAAAAATGAGATAAAACTAACAATCAACAGAGTGAAAAGCAGTACGTGTGTTTGAGAGCATAAACTTTTGTGATCAGTATGGTATATGGCTTTTGAGCATTTTGCAAGAGTAACTTTTTCAAAGTTACAAACCATCCAGCAGTTTATTTCAATATTAATTTTTTTTGTATACTGAATTCTCTATTCATGTATTAATACACTGTACAGTACTGTTATGCAGTGCAATTTACAATCCATTGAATTAGATCTTCATGTGTTTGTTTCCCCATTCATTTTTGTGCAAGCAATTTCTTCACTACTCTGTTTAGCAATATAGTCAGTTTTGTTGTCCACATTACTCTCTTGTGGACCATAAACTACCAACGTCATATGGTTATCAAAACAGTCATCTCCATGGGTGTGCATTTCATCTAAACAGTTGAATGCCCGACCACAGCATGGACATTCATCAATAGAAGACCGAATGGAACGCTTCAGTTTCTGTGGAAAAAAATTAAATATTGATATATATATACACTGAATAATGTATGTATATCACGAAAATAAACACGTGATTAAAAATGTGACAGTGTCAGACCACGGAGGAAAAATGAAACAGGAATTTCCTTAAGTACTTTCATATTCTGACACTGTCACACTGAATAATGTATATACCATATAGTATATTTTAATATTAGTATATTTTAGTAGTATTTTTTTTTCTTTTTAAAGTTTCATTAAGAGCAGGGCAAGTTATGCTTTACCCTGCTCTGCTCTGCTCGTTTCAACTTGGGTCTAAGGCTACAAGTACAGGACTGAATATATACGAAACTAAGCAAGATGAAAACATGCAATAGAAGGAAGGGTGATGTGCTCTGATAACTTGCTCAGTATGGAAATTATTCAACTGGAAAGTTAATACAATTAAACAAATTAACACCAATGTCTACACTAGCAATAGATAGTCACTTATGAAATAGATCCTAAATGTTGTATAGCTGCCACCCATCAGGGATAAAGTCACAATCACCACTCCATATATCACACAAAACAGATGGTCATTTACAAAGTAGATGAACACACTGAATGATATCTTGGTAAGAAATTTGAAATGCAACAATGATACAAATATTGTTAATAAATACAATATTATATTATATAAACAAATATTTAATCTACTTATACATGTACCAAACCCTTTGAAGAGAACCAATATACAGTGGAACCATGAGTGACGAGCGGCTCCAGTTACGAGCATTTTGAGTAACGAGCAAGCCACTCGCAAAAAATATGTCTTGACTGATGAGCTTTTGCTTGATTAACGAGCGTTCCCGCTGGTTCTCGGACACCTCCGACGAGTTTTGTTGTTTTGCAAGACGAATTTTTCACATGACAAGCTCGGTGCTGGCAAGAATGTATCTACAATATACCTGTACAGGGATTATCTTTTATTTTCAAAATGAGATTATTCTAATAACCTACCTCTAATAAATTGGTTCCTTTAGCATTAAAAACAGCTATTACTGCAAAAATTGGGATTGGTACAATGGAGAGAGCAGCAATCACCCAGCCAAGAGCAATAGCCCAATCTGGATAGCTGTATTCTCCTTTGTTATACGTTGGTCGCTTGTAGTCCACCATTGAAAATATCCAGATGGCCTGTTTATATATAAAAACAAGATAAATATAAAATCTTGATTCTTAATAAATTGATCAAGTAAATTATATCACATATCAAAAATATATTTTGAAGTAAATTATGTTCAATTTTTGTTTAGAGTTTTATTGAGTTAAGAATCTTAATATAGTGTATTTGCATATGACATACTTGTGAAAACAGCTATTTTAAAATAATTTCATACACGAAGTCCACATATTTAAGACAGGTAATTACACTTAGGTAATTACTTACCAAGATCAACATTGGTGCAGCAAAGTACCAACAAAATCGAAAGTACCTAGACGGCAAACGGCCCGTCATTTCTCGTACATTTCTTGCTAGCCGATCTGCACCATAAAACCATACAATGGCTGCCACTTCAAAGAAGGCCAGGTACATTAACGACACTGCTGCAGCGTAGTAGTCAATCAGTTGGAAAAAATATATGCCACCCTGAGAGATAAAATAAAATGATTACATCTGATGGTTTGGAACCCGCTAGCATTGATAACCGGTGCGTTTACATTATTTATGCTTCCTGTATAAGTTATGCAGATTCAGAATGCAAGACATTGACGAGATGTCAAGCTCATACAGAAGCTCCTATCTCTGATAAAATGGAAAACACACACACAGCATTCCACACTGAGCTTAAATGGATGGAATAATTGTCATGACATAACTCAATTGCTGTACTACATAGGAAACCCATAATTACGTACTTTATTCTTACCTTGAATGAAAAAATTGAACGACTTTGCTCATGAAACAAATTTTTCCGAAAAATTTAAAAATTTTTACATTCCTTTCTTTCACTTTCATATACAAAACCAGTAATGTATACAGTGTGTATCTCTTTTGTCCTATTGGTGGCACATTCCTGAAAAGCATCAACTCACCTCTACAATAGTTTAATTGTCTAATGTTTACCTAGTAATTATATACCTATATGCCACGGCACTTTCAGCGCCGTGGAGAGGGGGGACCTGCTGCCTGGGTAACAGCTTCTCCCCCGTATCAACCTACCCTGGCTTTGCGCCCTGGTGAGGCCACTCCAGACCGACAACCAGAGCGCAACTCCATAGTCTCTTGAGACTGATGGATGCCTACTATTATTATTATTATTATATGCCAGAAATATCATACATTAAAGTGTCACCTTCTAAATTACCGACAAACTTTCTTGGTTTTTATACAATGTTCCTCAACAACAGAATGAATTTACACAGTCATAATAAACCATATTTACAGGATTCAATAAATTCAGGGAGATGAATAAGTTGGCACATTTATGTGTGGAAACCATACTAAGACAGGCAGAAAAAATGCTCTCCCACCAATTGTTAATTGCTTTGGTAATATTCATTCAGTGTTGTCACTGGCCAATATATTGTTCTATATTCTTCAACTATACTGAACTGAAAGGACTTTCAAAATTTACAATTATTTTTAAAGTCATTTTTTCCTACTGTAGTACAGTATTTGATTGTTACCATCAGAATAGGCTAGTTTACTGTGCACTTCATAGTCATCACGTGGGTCTTCCTTGCACTAACTTGTTCTTGGAGAGATTGTTTTTTTAATATGTTGACCAGACCACACACTAGAAGGTGAAGGGACGACAACGTTTCAAGACAATCGACTTGAGAATGGTCCAGGACAAACAAAACGTCGTCGTCCCTTCACCTTCTAGTGTGTGGTCTGGTCAACATATCTTAGCCACGTTATTGTGACTCATCGCCTGCACTGTTTTATTTAGACATTTTAAAAACTTTGTAAAGTTACTGACTTCTGTTTAAATGCCACCTACTGTACCCTCAACCCTATTTACCCAAAATAAATATAGCCTTTAAGAGCCATAATTTTTAAGTTTATATTTTACAAAGCAAAACATATCCACTATTGACCTATGTCAAGGGAGCCGGTCGGCCGAGCAGACAGCACACTGGACTTGTGATCGTGTGGTTCTGGGTTCGATCCCAGGCGCCGGCGAGAAACAATGGGCAGAGTTTCTTTCACCCTATGCCCCTGTTACCTAGCAGTAAATAGGTACCTGGGTGTTAGTCAGCTGTCACAGGCTGCTTCCTGGGGGTGGAGGCCTGGTCGAGGACCGGGCCGCGGGGACACTAAAAAGCCCCGAAATCATCTCAAGATAACCTCAAGATGTCAGTCTTAATCTGGCTACTCTTCTGTCAAAGAGAATTTCTCCATTGATAACTTACTTGCATGACATTGGGAAGGCCAAAGAAGAAAGATACGAGGCAGACAACCAAGACCAAGACTTCGTGATGCCTAAGGTATTTCTGAATCCATTTTGGGAATCCATCCTGAAGAGATGTGATGATGACCTAAAAAGTAACAACCCAAATTCATGCTTTAACGCAAAATTTAATTTCTGAAATGCAGCCTTCAAAGACATTAAACTCTTTTGTGTTACAGTATTTCTATTGTATTGTATTTAGGTATTTATGAATCATCCTAGAATACAACAGATTATAAATACAAAAAATATTAACTTGGTTCTAAAAAAACAGGGAACAGCTTAATTGATTGTTTTGCATAAGGAATTTAAAGCATTAGCAAAGATTGAGCCGATTAGTGATAACAAACAGATACACACACACAGTAAACTGACCTCAACTGTAGCAAACTGTGAGTCAAGGCCTAAAATAAGAAGCATCATGAAGAACAAAATCGCCCAAAGATTGGCATATGGCATCTTGGCCAGAGCTTGTGGATACACCATGAACACTAGTCCAGGACCTGTAAAGAACATGATTATATTTGTGGAGAACTTAAAATATTCTGCAATGTTAATAACAGTCATTTTTAGGAATTAAATATAATAAATGCATCAATAACAATACAGAAATATTATTTGTAGCCAGCTGTTCCTTGATGAATAGTGACAATTCAGAACATCCCAGTCCTTCCTAAATCTTAAATTCCCTATACTGCACATTACCATTTGCCCCCTGGGTTGCAGTCCAACTACTTGGGCTGGATGGTAGAGCGACAGTCTCGCTTCATGCAGGACGGCGTTCAATCCCCAACCGTCCAAGTAGTTGGACACAATTCCTCCCCTGTCCCATCACAAATCCTTATCCTGACCCCTTCCAAGTGCTATATAGTCGTAATGGCTTGGCGCTTTCTCCCTGATAGTTCCCTTCCCTTCCCTGGGTTGCATTAACAATGAAGGCAACAAATATACACTGACCAACCTGACTGGTTCCAGTAACTGGAACCCCTAAACTGGAACCCCTGGAACTCCAGTAACTGGAACCCCTGGAACTCCAGTAACTGGAAGCCCTAAGTCTAAATCCCACCATAACATTTAGGAAATGCAGACAGACAACATAACTCCAACAATAATATAAATATGGAGATTGACTGCAGTGAATATTTTATGCAAAATCAGAATCAAGGCCACCACCAAAGGGGTAAACACTATACAGTAGTTTGAAATAATTGTGCCAAAGAATAAGTGACCCATACCAAAACTTGGATGTGAGGATTTATTTAACAATTCGTGTGTTTCAAACACAAGCCAGGGGCAACACTTCATCTTCAAAGATGCTAAGCTGCTTATCATAGAAGAAGACATTAGGAAACTGTGTAGAATCAAACTCAATAAAATAAAATTCAACACTGTTGCCATTATATCTAAATCAGCATAGCATTGTAAAGTATTTTAAAACTATAAATTTTAACAACATCCTCCCATTATTTACTTCCTCCTCCTCCTGTTTCTTCACAGCGGATGCCTCCATTTACTTAGCAGTAAATATATACGTACCTGGGAGTTACGTGACTGTCCTGAGACTAGTGGGACCTCAACAAGCCTAACAGGCATCCTGTCCCAGACTATGGGAAATCATACTTAGAATATTCTAATCATTCCTCCACAAAACATTACCACCAATACTTATTATAAAATTTGGGACACATACATGATACAGAGTAAATGGTAAAATGACAAAAAATAGCTTGACTACAGTGAGTGCACATTGAGAAAACCATCTTCTTGAGGTTATCTTGAGATGATTTCGGGGCTTTAGTGTCCCCGCGGCCAGGTCCTCGACCAGGCCTCCACCCCAAGGAAGCTGACAGCTGACTAACACCCAGGTACCTATTTTACTGCTAGGTAACAGGGGCATAGGGTGAAAGAAACTCTGCCCATTGTTTCTCGCCAGCGCCCGGGACCACAGGATCATAAGTACAGCGTGCTGTCCGCTCGGCCGACCGGCTCCCTTACTGAAGTGTGTGTGATGAGAGGTGTGATAGGAACCTTTGAAGATGAAGTGTTGCTTCAGGTTTATGTGTGAGACACAAGAATTGTTAAATAAAAAATATGAAGCTCTTATGGAGAAAAGAAAATGTAGAGAGGAGGAAGAATGGTGGCTAGGAAAAGGGGAATGTTCAATGCTGAAGACAATATTAGGAGTACCAGTAGATGGAGAAAATACTTTGAAAATCTAATAAGTGATGAAAGAGGCATTCAATACTGAAGACGATATTAGGAGTACCTGTAGATGGAGAAAATACTTTAAAAATCTAATGAAAGTGATAAAAGAGGTGTTCAATTTGAACATAAATCGATTTGATGACGAGAGATGAGTGCATAATCCGATGGTGATGGCAGTGATGGTTCAATCTTTAACAAAAGTCTAGTTACCTTCCGCAACAACATCATCGATCTCTTTCCCTTGTTCCAGTGCAATATTGCCGAGTGTAGAGAAGACGATCATGCCAGCCAACAATGATGTGAATGCATTAACGAGACTGATGATCCAGGTGTCCACTACTATGTTGTTATTGAACTTGTTGTAAGATGAAAATGCTATCATTGATCCAAAGGCAATGCCTATACTGTTGAAATTCTGGGCAGCTGCATTTACCCACACCTAATGTGAAGAAATATTAATGAACTTTTAGTATTAATACATAAATGAGCACATAAAAAGTGCTCAGTTTATTAAGTGAAAGAACTTTTTCAGTGAAAAAATTCCCAAATACAAAATATGGTTCAGGAACCAGAAACAATTGCCTTAAGTACTGATTGGCTTAAGTACATCTTTGCTATGGTCCATGATTGTCTAGCAATTTTTTGTATTATTTTGTTTGGTCACAAGAAACATGATAGTAGATGATAATGGGGGACCAATGATCATGATATGTAGAACTTAACCAGTCAGCCAAATGCTAATACTGTTCTGTACATGATAACATATATCTTATTACATTTTGTAGACAATCCTCTAAGACTCAAGTGGTAGTACTGTACAGTTGTTAAAATAGTAAATTAACTCATTCCAAATTATGTTTAGCACACTGAAGGGTCATTAAGTAAGACATACTGTACATTACATCACCCTTATTGTAGGAGTCAAAATTTGACAATACACAAACAAATTATTTTAGTTTTACTCAACTAAAAATTAGATTTTGATGTAGATTTGTTATTACATGGCACACAAACAAAACACTATATACAGTATAGCACAGTATTTTTATGTAACCCAAAACAGTAGAAAGAACAACAAATTGACCCCAGAGGGGAAGGGAAAGTGTGTCTTTTTGCACTCGACTGAAATCCTGGTGAAGCAAATATGGTTAGCCCAATAGTTCATTTAGAGTAAAGACCCCACACACACACACACACACTAACAACAAATAACTGCTCTATACTGTACTGAACTATGTAATATTTTCTGTGAAAAAAAACTAATATAAAGAAGATAGGCAACTTCCATAAAAAATGCTTCTATACAGCAATGAGAGAAAAATATTAAAGCAATATTGTCAAATAAAACTATATTTTTCAAGAAGTTTCCAGTATTCCATCCTACACTACCCATGCTGTAAACAGTAGCACTTTGATAAACAAAAAATTATCATTTATCATTTAATCATCTGAAGCTCGTACCAATGAAGATACAACTTTCGCTTCCTTTAAATGTCATTAACTGAAGTAAATAGAGTATAATAAACATTAACATTAACTTATAATACCTGAGCTTTCAGTAGAAGCTCCCATCGAGGTCCAAAGAAGTATTGAAGACCTTTGTTGGCACCCGGTAGTGTCAATGCTCGCCAGAGGAATGCACCGATCAGCAAGTACGGAACAGTTGCTGTCACATATACCACCTATAAACATCACCGTAAATTCCAGTTCATTCTCTGTCATATATTGTACACTAATAATAATAAATGATGATGATGATGATAATAATAATAATAATAATAATAATAATAATAATAATAATAATAAATCATCATCAGAGAGTAATCACACTAATATGATGTGTCAATGAGAAAATTGTGGGAACATACGAACACCCACCGCATAGGTTCAAACCCTCATCACGGCTCCTACGGATTTCCTCAGCAGTAATAATAATAATAATGTTTAATATTTCTGCATTGTCTCACTCAGTTGCTTCCTTAGGCATAACACTGCTGGTCCCCTGAATGGTATAACCCAGACAGGGCAGGGAAACATCACGCAGTGGCATAACTGATGTCTTTTAAAACTTCTCTTGTCAGGTCATACTGTTGCAAGAGAGATGCAAGTGAGTAGCCCATTTATATAAAATGTCCATCCAAGTCCTGCCAAGCTACTTGCTTGCTGGCCTGACCAATAGGTACCGAAAAGCATCACCAGCGGACAGCACCAACACAAAAAAAGGGGGGTTCACAAACTCAACCCTATTAACAGTCTACCATTATACCCGACTAGTTCCTGTATACAATTCAACCAGGAAGAGAAGAAAACACTTCAATTAATCAACTTGTGCTTATTCTTAGAAAATGTTTATTATCAAAGTCTGAGTATGTGCATAAATGTTCATTATGTTGTGCATTGGGATTGTGAAATTAGTGGACATTTCTCGTATGCATTTATACACATTAATTTACTGCCTGGTTCAGTTGTGTAGCAGATGATGTACTCTACCCTCAAGTTCACCACCAGAAAGCTTTAGATACAGTCCCATACAAGACTACATGGGGATAAAAGGACAAAAGACTCGCTGGAAGAATGTTAAACAACCATGGACCTCTAATGTTTATACAGTGTTCTCTGAGCCTATGGCACCCCTGCTCTTCACTGACCCAATTCTGCATTCTCTTCCATATCTTTCACTCCAGTATGTTGATATTTTACTGTGTAGATTTGGTACCTGGCCCTCCATTTTCCACGTGTATATTATTTTACCTGTACTGTACATCTCTCTTGTCTCTTTTCACACCTCCTAAACATATATAAGAGATATCTCTCACTATATAAAAGATCCTGAGGGAAGTAGACATAGCAGACAATGGAAGGTTATTTAAATCAAAAGGAGGTTGATGAAGGTGATATCAGTGGAAACTGGACATGCATCGTGGATAGGAACGAGATCCAGGGCCCCATTTAGTTTTGAGTTAATTGTGCCGACAACTGTCCTACAGAAGTTTATGGATCACAGCAAGACATGAATGTAAAGATGCCACGAACCACCTCATCAAAAACAGTAGTTGGAAATAACATCTTGAGGTCATTTTGAGATAATTTCGGGGCTTTAGTGTCCCCGCGGCCAGGTCCTCGACCAGGCCTCCACCCCCAGGAAGCAGCCCATGACAGCTGACTAACACCCAGGTACCTATTTTACTGCTAGGTAACAGGGGCATAGGGTGAAAGAAACTCTGCCCATTGTTTCTCGCCGGCGCCCGGGATCGAACCCGGGACCACAGGATCACAAGTCCAGTGTGCTGTCCACTCGGCCGACCGGCTCCTATGCTGGGAATAGATATAGTGATGTTGTTATATCCTCAAATTTAAGGATACTGTATATGGATAACTTATGGATATAATTTATGGATAACAAATTGTAGATATGTAAAGCATTCTTAAGTTATACTCACACGGCCTGAAGATTTGACAGACTTCCAAAGTGAGAAGTAGACAAGAAGCCATGCGAGAAACAATGCCACTAGCAACTCGATCCTCATGGACCCCATCTCATTAATTCCGTCACTCTTTTGTAGAACCACTTCACTGTAAGTTATAAACATTATGTAAAGAAAATTCAGAATATGAACATTTAATGCATCTTTTGAAAAATTAGAACAACAGTATTAAAAACTTACAACACAAACCTACACTACAGAAACAAAATATTACACAACATATGGTACATAAATTCAAAATACTACAGTACAGTGTAAAGCTAAATACTAACTCAAAAAACTCTTCAGTTGCAGACTTAGTTCCATTTGGTGCCTCAACCCCCGGGCCATAATCATCAAAGCAGTTTACAGCCCACGTAGAGTTGCAATTACTCCACGGCAATTCGGCATAAAAGGATTGCACAAGATAGAATATTGCCCATGCAATGATGACGTTATAGTATGTACACAGCATGAAGGATATCACCACACTTCCTACTCCAGCACCTGCAAAGACACGGCTTCAATTGACTTCTTGTATCATATGGTCACTCCCTTGATAGGACTGACTCCTTGTACACCATCAACCTAAACTTGCATATTCTGCTTCCTAATATACTGTAGTATGATCCATCACTGCCTTATGCAGATTCATTGTAATAATTGTGACTTGTCGAAAAAGTTCATCCTTCATAGTAGATAATCTATCACTGGTGTATATAATGACTCCGCAGACCAAATGGTCAATTAATTAACACATCATATTACCGTACCGAATATGTTTTCATTACAACCTACCTACTACTACTACTACTAATAATAATAATAATAATAAATACAGTAATAATGATAATAATAAATAATTATAAACAATAATAATTACAGTAAATAATAATAATAATAATAATAATGAGAAATCACACTAATGTGAAGAATCAATGAGAAAATCCGTAGGAGCCGTGATGAGAATACGAACCTATGCGTTGCGTATTCCTATGTCGTGGCCTAGTTGTCTGGGGGTGTGTGCCTGGGAATACCCAATGCATAGATTCGAATCCTCTTCACGGCTCCTACAGATTTTCTCAATAACAACAATAATTAAATAAATAAATAAATAAATAATAATTACAGTTAATGATAATACAGTATGTAATAATAATACTGTACCTGTAATGTAATATTTTACATTACAGGTACAGTTACACAATCTGTAAAATATTACATATTGTGTTTACAATGCTGTATGTATGAAATCCCAATCTTCTTAAGCAAAAATAAAGTACCTGTACTGTACCTGTAAATACAGTATAACCTCAACAAATGGCCTAATTGGTTTCAAACCCACTGTGAACAGTATCTTTTTGTAGATCTGCCTTATCCTTGTTAGCTATTCGATCTAACTCGTCAAAATGTGTCACTGAAGACATTTCTCAGATTCTTTGCCACCAGAACTCACTCTTTCCTGGCAATGTACTCTAAAACTTGTACTTTCTGCTAATTCCAACACAAAACATTTTAGTTAGTTCGTTCACATCCCAGCCTTCATTATCTCTATGAAACCAGGTAGCCTTTTCATGCAATTAAAATGCTATTTTCCTTTCACTTGGTTTTTGCCAGACCACTTATGTTGGTCGACATCTTTTCTGTTCAAACATAATAGAAAAGAAACATGCATGAAAATCTTTGAGTAACAAGAAGTAACACCGCACTAGAGAGTGAAAGACAGAACTTGACCTCATCACACCGGAGAAGAGAAAAGGAACAAGGAGAGGAAATGATAATGACATACAAAATCCTAAGGGGAATTAACAAAGAAGAAAAAGAAGCAACATTCAAAGGGAGAAACAGTAGTTCTTGGGCTATAGTTTGAAACTATAGGGGAATCAAGTGAGCAACAGAGATAAAAAAAAAAAATCCTCAGTGTAAGATGTAAATCTAAGTGGAATTTAGGTGGTTAAATTAAAAATGGTGGAAGCAAAAAACAATTGTATTAAAACTACTAACAGTTATAAAGGAAAGATCTAGGAGCTGTCACTCGACCCTAAAACCACATTTAGTTAAGTACAGTACATCTAGGTGGGTACTCTCACCTATTTGTGCCCCTTATTTGTGTTAACAGGATCAAGCTTCACCAATTGGACTCTACGTTTCCAATCACCAGTCGGAGTCATTGCAGTAGATGATTGGAAAGGTGGGGTACAAAAGCTGAAGCTCATTGCTACAGGTATAAACAAGGACAAAGATATTGCTGAACATGCGAGCACACATACATGTTTAACCTTAAACACACACATCAGCAGCACTATCTCAGACATTATAACAACCTTTGAATAGAGGGCATATTTTCTCCAGTGCAGCCACGGGTCCCCTTCGTGTGTACTGGCCCACAGTCAGCTCCATCAGCAGTAGGGGGATGCCACAGATAAACAGCATGATGAAGTATGGGATGAGAAATGCACCTGTTGAGAAACTTTCAGTCACTACCCGGAAACTTGCATCACTATACAATACTTGTGCTGCATTTATAATATTGTATTCACAGGGCCGGATTGCCCAATAGGCCAAGTAGGCAATGGCCTACCAACACTTTTTTTATACCATAAAAATGGACAAATATTAAAATTACTTTATCACACAGCTCTATTATTTTTGTATGTAATTCCTGTACTGTACACATCATTTTCTGGAAAAAGGAACTGAAATTGTATCGGTATTGAAATATGGCCTCTGCAAAACTATACATAATATAACCTGCATATAATATTTATATGTACAATATAACTTTGATTATTAATGATTACATATTATGATATAAGCTGTCTACATGTATATGTTCAGCCTTTGAACAGCCACATTGACAAGAGGGTTGGGGAGGGGGGGGGGTGGCCTACAGTCCAAAAACGGTAAGATCCGGCCCTGTATATGGGTACTGTATATACAATACAGTAATCATAACTCACTCAATATATATGTGCATGCTTACAAGTATGGTTTTATATAATTCTAAAGATTTAGAATTTAAATGTGATTAGTCTTAATTATGAGACATATAAACATCAGTTATATATACACGAAGAAATCACACTAACGTGATATGCATCAATGAGAAAATCAATAGGAGCAATGAGATAACTCAAACTAACAATTAGAGTACTCTCAGCTGTGCGCACCTTACCCCTATACCATGACATGGTATAAGCTATACAACCTGGGATTCTACAGAACCCACAGGAAGTCTATTGGCTGCTACTGTGAAGCCAGTACAAGTTTTACACACAATCCACAACCCCTCATGCAATCTTGTGTAGATATACATCACATTAGCATGATTTCTTTGAGTATCTGAAACTGGAGCACACAGTTGGTGAACTACTTTACCTACACAAGACTGCACAGAGGAGGTATATGGAAAAACTTGTACTGGCTTCAGTACAAGCCTCTCAACCTGGAATCTTTAATTAGTTATCCAAAAAATTAAATTTAGCAACAATTAAAAAGGAGAATAGACTATTACTGACCGCCACCACTCTTGTAGCATAGGTAAGGGAAGCGCCAGAGGTTGCCCAGGCCAACGGCCGAGCCCACACAGGCCAGGACGAACTGGGCCTTATTGCCCCAGGTCTGACGAGCCTCCAGGCCCTTGGAGCGTCTTGGATCATCCTGCCAGCCCCTGCATCACACACATCAATATTAACGTTATAATCCTGCACCACAACGTTAAAACAACAATCCTACTTCTCACACCTCAACATTAACATTATAATCCTACATCACACACATCAACGTTAACATTATAATCCTGCATCACACACTTCAATGTTAACACAATAATCCTACACCACACACCTCAATGTTCACACAATAATCCTACACCACACACCTCAATGTTAACACAATAATCCTACACCACACACCTCAATGTTAACATTATAATCCTGCATCACACACCTCAATGTTAACACAATAATCCTACACCACACACCTCAATGTTAACACAATAATCCTACACCACACACCTCAATGTTCACACAATAATCCTACATCACACACCTCAATATTAACACAATAATCCTACATCACACACCTCAATATTAACACAATAATCCTACACCACACACCTCAATGTTAACACAATAATCCTACATCACACACCTCAATATTAACACAATAATCCTACACCACACACCTCAATGTTAACACAATAATCCTACACCACACACCTCAATATTAACACAATAATCCTACATCACACACCTCAATATTAACACAATAATCCTACACCACACACCTCAATATTAACACAATAATCCTACATCACACACCTCAATATTAACACAATAATCCTACACCACACACCTCAATATTAACACAATAATCCTACATCACACACCTCAATGTTCACACAATAATCCTACACCACACACCTCAATGTTCACACAATAATCCTACATCACACACCTCAATATTAACACAATAATCCTACACCACACACCTCAATATTAACACAATAATCCTACACCACACACCTCAATGTTCACACAATAATCCTACACCACACACCTCAATGTTAACACAATAATCCTACACCACACACCTCAATGTTAACACAATAATCCTACACCACACACCTCAATATTAACACAATAATCCTACACCACACACCTCAATGTTAACACAATAATCCTACACCACACACCTCAATGTTAACACAATAATCCTACATCACACACCTCAATGTTAACACAATAATCCTACACCACACACCTCAATGTTAACACAATAATCCTACACCACACACCTCAATGTTAACACAATAATCCTACACCACACACCTCAATGTTAACACAATAATCCTACACCACACACCTCAATGTTAACACAATAATCCTACACCACACACCTCAATGTTAACACAATAATCCTACACCACACACCTCAATATTAACACAATAATCCTACACCACACACCTCAATATTAACACAATAATCCTACACCACACACCTCAATATTAACACAATAATCCTACACCACACACCTCAATATTAACACAATAATCCTACACTCATTATTATTACATTATTAGTCGGTAATATCATGCAAGAGACTATTCATAAAATTTATATACAATATAAAATAAATAATGCACGCATTAAAAAAAAGAAAAAACATGCAGGCAAAAGAAATAAAACAAAATTATTATTCGTAATATTATCTTTGTTGCATGAATTCAGTATTCCCAAAGTTCAGGGCATGACACGAATGCTGGGATAATTATACCAGCGATTGCCTGTAGCTATGAGAAGTTAAATGAAGTTTTAGTGTACAATGGTGGCTATTGTACCACGTGCCTTTTATATTTCTCTATGTTCTAATTCCATCTCTTTACCACCTCCACTGAATAACTTAGAATTACCTTGTTCCCCGTCTCAGTTGTTTAAGATTCAGATACTGGGATGTTAAAAATGTCCCAAGTAGCACTGGCTATGGTGAGCCCGTAGTGTACTTACCTGGCACAGGAGCGGGGCTGTTAACTGCTGGTCTCAGCTGTGTTTCCAGCCTATATAGTCTGGAATCAGGCTTAATGCTTTTCCCTTTGATAATGCCTCCTCCTCCGGTTTATAATTATTTTGGCTTGTTTCTACCTTTCGTCATCCATAAAACAGGCTACATATATCCATTTCATAAAAATATGGCATCTCAGTATGTTATCATATCACCCCTGGTTCTTCTCATTTTCTAGCGAGTAGGCGAGTTATCTTAATTTCTCTTCATAACTCGTATAGTCTCAAGAAAGTTCTAGGCCTTCTCAAATTTTGTTCTTGTGCTTTACAATGTGATGTAAATTTGCATTGTAAATTTACAATTTACAATCTGCGCTGGTGATAATATTCTAAATATGGCCTGACATATGCTAGGCATGTTCTGAACGATTCATAGCTTAACCATCTAAATATCTTTACGCTTGCAAATGTTGACAAAATGTTTCTGATTTAATATGCAAATTTCGGGGTTGACATGAATATTCAGGTGGTGATACATTTCCCTTCCCTCAATCCTCGCGTGAACACTCAAATAAAAAAATAATGTCGAGCCATCCAGAGAATGCCGAGGTCTGAATATTGAGCCAGATGCGTGTGTGTGCGAGGCATTTCAATATGAAGTGGGTGGCAATTTACGGGTGACCTTGCAGCAAGTAAATCACCCACTACCACCACCTTGCATACAAAACCTGCGCTCCTTCGTACATATCTGAGCACTAGGTCGACATTTAAACGCAAGATGTTAACCCCTCTGATCGAGCGAGCTGTGATTCATATTTCCTGATTGCGAGCAGTCGAGTCTAAAAGCCTGATTGCCAGCCTACCAACCAGGACTGCTTAGAGACCGGGCCATGGAGACATTGGTCCCAGGAACCGGCACAAGGTTCTGTTTTTATCAATTTAAGTGAAGACCACCAACTCTATTAGTCTGAAGGTATGGAGAAGTGATTTGTGGTAGCACCACATGCCTTTCTTCCTCCATTTCCTGAGGACGTCTTAACGATTTTCAACTGAAGCACTTGTCTTCTTAGTATTTATGACTTCTATTTTAATGTCCTCAAATTTGTTCACTTTATAACATTTTAAAGGTCACACTAAGATCAGTCCTGTCAAAGTCTTGTTAGAGTTGTTAGTCACGAGGTCCTCAGCCTTTGAAAATTAACCTAAATTGGGTTTGATTTTGTCGGTCTGCTTTGTCGCTTAAAGTTGTCCATTGCAGCTGTGTCTTTTTGTAAATGAGGTCTCCATGCTGGGATACACAAGTCCTGACCGAGCCATATATGGGTGTTATGGGGATCTCATGAGAGAGACCACTCTCATTTTCGAAGATCTGATTCATTATTCCTAGTTTTATGAGCCTATTTTTTTTTTTAATTGCCACCTCTCCTACCTGATGAACAGCTTCTAACAATTAGTTTTTTTTCAATCTGCTACACGGTAGGGTTCTTATGGACTTCTGACCATTTGTAGAGTTCAAGATATAATTGTGCAAGTCCGCATGTCTTTTTCACTTCTTACTTTCCGGCAGATCTTTGATGTTGTTCATAATGGTGTTATCTATGCCATTGATGAATAATTGAACATCTAAAAATAATTGGCTCTACAATGGAACTTTGCGGTACTTCCTTCACAACAAATTTCCAGTTTGATTCTTTTCCATTTACAACGACTATTCCTTTATAATATGTTTGAACTATGATTTTATTAATTTCAATATTTTATCATTGATTCTGTGTACTTGTAGTTTCTGGGCGTGTCTTTCGTGTGCTTCCTTGCCTAAACCTTTAATTAAGAGACGTTCATGTACACTACATTTAATTAAATTGTGTGTGACTGATTACTGTTTTCAGAATAGTGATCAGCTTCATTAACCAGATTTAGTTTTTGGATTTTTTTTTACAAAAATCGTATTATGATACTGTTACAAGATTGTATTGGGACGAATTCTTTCCTCAATGCTCTTAGTGAGGTTAGGTTGATTGGTCTGCAATTTTCTGTACCCCTTCTGTTTTTTTTAAATTAGGAATGATGTTTGCATATTTCAGAGAGATTAATGGATGTTTTCACTACGTTTTTTAAATGTTTCTTTTAACTGATTTAATTTACACGATGGCTACATTCAACACTTATTGTAAGTAGAAAAAAGTGCAGTGAAGTGCTGACAAGCTTGTACGATAAGAACTAGGTTAACAAAAGCCTCATTACACACGTCAGTAATAATACAGTTACTAATGCATTCACAAATTAAAACAAACATGTCAAACTGAACGATAAATAATAGTAAAAAAAAGCCACTATAAGTAAACAAATAATTTTAGCAAGCTACCACAAATGTAGTGCATTTTGCCTGTTCACTGTGTGAACTAAACGACATCAAACAAAATCTAAACAGCCCATCAGGAACAGATAGACCAAAACACTGGAAGTGAACATAAAATGTAGCAGTGCAGAGTCTGCGGTGGCTGGATAAAGGGGAGTGTGTGTGTGTGTCGTGGCAACCGCCTGCCTACCTTCCTGTCTGCTGACACAACACCCCCTGCTCAGCTTGATGCTTGTCTGCTTCTTCCTCCTCCTCCTGCCCATCATCTCGTTCCTGCTGCAGCTGCTCTTTCTCTTCCTCCTCGTGTTGGCTACTGTGCCGTTTTCTCTTCTGGGATTCCAGACACATGATAGCAGGTCCAGTCACTCCTCACACTCCACTGGGGGGTAGAAATAGCCTACGCTATTCTATCCCTTTGAGATGTATTTTTTCTTGTCTCAATAAACATACTTGAACCCAACATGCACTGAGCCAATGTGTATCCACAGAAAATTCTTGCACAGCTTTAAATAAAGTTCCTTTGCTAATTTAGGCCAAATTAAATATGTGGGGCTTTTTCTATGTCTGTTCAATTAAAATGGGCTGGCATTGTTTGGGTCGTATTAGGCTATTCTCTTGGTGAACTAGATGTTCTTCTGGAGTACTTTGGCTTTGTCTTGGCATGTTGTATGAGCTTAGCTAGTGCCCTGCAGACTGTATTCTTGAGTGCATACAACCCTGGTATCTTGGCACTGGCTTTTGTACTACTAACGTTTCAAGAGGAGGCAAAAGGGAACGAGTGAGTGAGTGAGTGTGTAATTACCTAAGTG